CCAGTTAATTTTAAGAGTTTATTATTATTATTTGTTCATTGCTTTTTGTATGGATACAGTGAAAAGGTCTCCCAGCTACTCTTCTTGGAGGTAGCCGATGAGACTAATTTCTTATATGCATTGAGTATCTCTGAAAGGATACATAATATGTAGATTTGAGTGGCTTTTTGCGATTTTTATTGCAGTATTATCTAGCTAGTTACCACCAAAAATTATGGGGGGAACCTTGTACTGCCTGCCACTGGGGCTTGGACCCTGTTCTAAGAGCCAGGGCTCAGAGTTCACTTGTGCACCTAGTTGTCAGAGGAAGTCCTTACCCTTTATTAATCAGGATTGGTTCCACCCTTCTCTTGATTCAGTATAAACTCACTTGTGCCCTCTTACATAGCTATGGCTCCACAACTTGAACTCTGATCCCCTTGGCTTAGGTCTTCGATTGTTTACATGTGTAGCAGGGCAGTCACTGCTGCTGACCTTATACCAGACTGTAGGAGTAGAAAAACTCAAGGAGAAGGGAAAACTGAAGTGGGAGACAGAATCATGTTTTTCAGTATCTAACCTGTTAACAGAAAGCTTATCATTGTACCCTACCAAAGAAGTAAAAATGGTCCTAAAATACATTGTGGGGCTACCCCCTTAAAGACATTGAACCAGCTATGCATTCCCATGTGGTTCTGTTTCTACTAGTGGAAGGTGCTGTTTTATTTCTGTGCCTTCACCAGTAAGAGTGTAGAAAGGACTGTGCAAACTGCTTTGATTTCACCTTAAATATACTATACCAGTAATGTTTTAACTTATTTCAGGATATCTAGTCTTAACTAAATTTCACTTACTGTCAAATGCCTTTGTCAGTTCAGTACTCACAGTCTTCTTTTTTTAAAATATATTTTTTTAAGATTTTATTTATTTATTCATGAGAGACGGAGGGGGAGAGAGAGAGAAGCAGAGGGAGACGCAGGCTCCCAAGGAGCAGGGAGCCCGATGCGGGACTCGATCCCAGGACCCCGGGATCATGACCTGAGCCGAAGGCGGATGCTTAACTATCTGAGCCACCCAGGCGCCCCAGTACTCACAGAGTCTTGAGTCTGTTCCTAAGTTGTGCTCTTGTTAGCAGTGCACTGTTGTCCTGAATCATAGATGTAGTTGACCTTCTATGAAAAATAGTTAAAATCAGGTTATTTTGGTTTTGCAGCAGTGAAAAGGCAAAATGTTATGGTAGTATTCTTGGTTATCTGTTTTCAGCAGTGTTTATCCTTTCCAGTTAATGACAGAAGTTATTCTGTGACTCGATTATAGAAATTTTAAGACCTAGAGCTGTTTCATATTTTTATGTTCTGAACTGTCTTCTGTAATGTTGGATGATTTAATAATTTCACTGAAATTTTAATCCGTTGTATTTGAAGGTGCTATTGCAGCTGGTAATCTACATGATGGTTCACTAGAGTTGTCTCATACCCAGCAGTCCCTTTTATGAATTATGTATAAAATTGTCCTTTGTAAAATGGCTGTAACCCCTAGTTGCTCTGAGGAGCTCTGTTGGTTGAAACGTTGCTATGGCTTTGATTGTGGATGCATAATGCTGAGAGCTACTGGCATCCTGACCATCACATGTTACAGTCACGTTATTTGTTACTGTTGTGAGCTGAGCTGTGGAAAACCATATATTTCTATTTCTCTCTGCTTTTTATTATGTTTGCTGCGCAAATGTCACATTTAAATATTTGAGTGCTTATTGTGTGTGCAGTGCTTTATTAGGAATTGGGGTGATGTGCTGGGGAGAAAAAGTTGAGGATTATAATATGAGATAGGACCTGACCCATAAAGAGAAAAAAAGGGCGTAAGTTCCTTGGATGATTATTGTTAGAGAGTATTAATCAGAAGATTTTCTTGAGTGGGTGCTTATAACCTAAGCATTCTGTAGGAAGGTAAATAGCAAGTAGTCTTCCTTGGCTGAAGTGGTGAGTCAAGTAGTAACAAGAAGTGAGTGTAGTAGAGGAGAGTCAGTTTGAAGATTTAGAAAGAATAGAGGCTGAGGAGTTTAAATTTAAATTGAGAGGCAATTGAGAACTACTGTAGGTTTTTATCAACCTGATTTTACTTCATGTGTATGTGTTATATAGATGTGGGTAGGGGTGGGGGCTCTAGGAACAAAGGCAGGAAATAAATGCTGTTTTAGGAGGGGTGGTTATATAGGAAATTCTTACTTATTTTGAAGCAGTCTTCGGTTTTGAACTTTTGGGAGAATAGTGGTATCCTTGAATTTCCTAGAAATCTGCTGTTCGTGCATAAACGTTTGGATTCCCAAATGGGAGAATGGGATTTCAGTATTATATTTAATAGGAAATGTTTTACCTTTTTCTAAAACTGCCTTGTTGATTATCTTCTAGTGATCTTGAAGATAATCTCTTTTTAACTGTGGGCATTGTGTTAACTTGATTTAGTATGCTGTAATGGATCAAGATGATATTACTAAATATAGATAGGCACTGTCAGCACTTGGATGCCATCTGTCCATGAGTTTATAGAAATTAGAAGGTATAGAAAGTTTGCAACAGTTGGCTAAAATACATAGCCCATTAGGGTCACTGTTGAATTATTGCAAGATTTTGATTATTATGGCTCAGAAAAGGCATAGGAATTGGTAAAAGTCCAAAGATAAATAACTGCAATAATCAGGTATAGTAGAAGAGCTTGTATGAACAGATTGGATTGTTCGGTTAATGGTTAGCCAAAACCGAAGGGTAACCCTTAAAGTTGAAAAATTATACAAAGTAGATAGCAAGATTATAGAATCATTACTTCTGAGTATAAATAGGGTTACAAGTGCTTAGACTCATTAGAGGAGGATAAATTTGTAATAAGATTAAAGATACCTACGATTTTTTTTTTTTTTTTTTTTTTTGAGGATTGGTATTAGCCTTTTGTACTTGAGGTCATGGGAGACCGTCATTCTCTCCCAAAACACCATTCATTGCTCAAAGGACAGGACAGATCAGGTAGATCATGGTACTGAGCCAATATGGTCAACCATAAGGGTATTCTGTGGCAGCCTGTTCTTTGCTGGCTGACTTTTGGTTCACCTGGTGGACGATAGTATACAATCACAAAAGCTGTTTATCAGTAAAATTAACCACCTTATTCTGAAAACCATAATACAGTTGTGCGTAGAATAATATATATGATGATACTTTGGCACAATTGGCAAAATTTCCCTTACTGGGACTTAATAAGGCTCTTCTCCCCCGTGGAACAGTTTGGAATGATAAGCTTACTCCCTATTGCCATTGTCTGTGCTTGTTGACTGATAGATTTGAATGACAAAGGCAAACAAGGACAAATAAAAATTTAAGCTCACTGTTCTGACGAGTCTTTCATACTGATGAACGGACTGGTGAGTCAGATGACTAACAACACAATTGCGCTGCTAATAAAAAGCAGAGTCAACTGCTTTTCATTATTCACCCACTCAATTCTAATGGCACTTAATACTAATGAGTAATCTAGTGGCAGGTGCCAGGATTGAAGCTTTGGTTGGATGGTAATCCTTCTGTCTAATACTGAAATGAAGTCAAGGTTTCTAAATATGCCTGACAGCCTAAGGGTAGGTTTGCTGATAGCCAGTCACAGCTAAATACTTTTTTTTCACTATGGAGAATTTTTGGCCCTTGATACTGGAGTGATTCATCATAACCTTTGAACAAAATAGTTGAACAAATATTTGGTGCCTTTTCTTTTTTTTAAGGCAGCTGACATTTAGGGAGAGGAGAAGCTGTAGTAAGGCCCATAGTCTTTTTTTCCCCCATTTTAAAAAATTTAAATTCAATTAACATATAATGTATTATTAGTATCAGAGGTAGAGGTAGAGTTCAGTGATTCATCAGTCTTATATAACACCCACTGCTCATCACATCATGTGCCCTCCTTAATGTCCATCACCCAGTTACTCCATCCTCCCCCCCCACCCCCCGCCCAGCAACCCTCAGTTTGCTTCCTGTGTTTAAGAGTCTCTTATGGTTTGTGTCCTGCTCTGATTTTGTCTTGCTTTATTTTTCCCTCTTTCCCTGTACAATCCTGTTTTGTTTCTTAAATTCCACATATGAGTGAGAGCATAGGATAATTGTCTTTCTCTGATCTACTTATTTCGCTTAGCATAATACCCTCTAGTTCCAAGGCCCATAGTCTTTTATCTGAAACTGGTGGGATCAAATGCATTTCAAAATTCAGAATTTTTAGGATTTTAGAAAGATGGTAATACCATGTATAAAACTCAGGTGAGTCTGGAGCAGCACCTTCTAGTAAAACACATATATTTCTGTAGCAGAAGGTATGAGTATTCACACTAAGTGGGACCAGTAAATTCTGTAAATAGCTTTGTGCCAGTTTTGGTCAGGTTTAATCATCAGATAAGCTTTTGGAACTTTTTGGAATTTGGAATTGAGGATGTGGGATTGTGGTTCTGTACTTTATTTTTATTTTTACTTTATTTATTAAAGATTTTATTTATTTATTTGACAGAGACGCAGCGAGAGAGGAAACACAAGCAGGGGGAGTGGGAGAGGGAGAGGCAGACTTCCGCTGAGCAGGGAGCCCGATGCAGGGCTCGATCCCAGGCCCCTGGGATCATGACCTGAGCCGAAGGCAGATGCTGAACGACTGAGCCACCCAGGCGCCCCTTTATTTATTTACTTTTTAAAGATTTTATTTATTTGACAGAGAGCACAAATAGGCAGAGAGGCAGGCAGAGGGACGGGGAGAAGCAGGCTCCCCGCTGAGCAGGGAGCTTGAAGCGGGGCTCTATCCCAGGAGCCTGGGATCATGACCTGAGCCGAAGGCAGCCGCTCAACCAACTGAGCCACCCAGGCGCCCCTGGTTCTGTACTTTAATTTGTCAAGCGGTATCTTTAGTTGGCAGAATAAAAGGACAGCGAGCTAGATGCATAAAAGTAATTTCAAGGTGTTTTTGGTTGACAGTATAATTAAGGAGTATCTCTCGGTTTCTAGGATTTGTACTGTGTTCGCAGTGACCTGGGGAACCTGCTCAAAGCCCTGGGTCGCTTGGAAGAAGCCAAGGTAGGTGTTTGATAGAACACATTTAAACATCAGTGTTATGAAAACTTGTACTTTTTGCCAAGTCTTCAACTCTTCATTGAGCTATCTCCAAAAAACAGTCCTATGAAACTGAGGAAAACTGACGGCATGAATCACCTCAGACTAGAGCAGGGCCAGGCTTTGGCATATCTGTTCTAAATCTGGGGGTAAAGCAAGAACCTGAACATTTTGGAGCCTTTCTGCTGAGCTAGATCATCTTTATAACAATGGGCTCCGTCATGATCTTATGTGGGAATAAGTAACATTCCTTTAAATCTGAGGCTTGCCTGCTGGTGACAAGCAGAGCGCCTGTGATTTGGCTCAAGACTCCTATATGATGCAGGTGCCATTGAAAATGCTGCTCTTCTAAGTCCTTTGTGGCTTGTAAGTGGAGAAGAATTTCATCCAAATGTTACCCTGTAATACTGGCATTTAAAATTCTTATTTAACCTTCCTCCCTTCATCTTCCTTACCCTTTTTACAGTGGAAGAAAGGCTGTTAAAATGATTGTAAATTCATAATTGGAACATCCTGCCCCTTGTCCCCACTCCCTCCCCTAAGTTCCTTTTTCCTCTTTTCCAACCCTTAGTTGTCTACCTTCTTTTCTTCCTTACTTCCTTCTTTTATTCCTCCCTGCCCTACCTCCTTTAAAAAAAAAAAAAAAAAAAAAAAAGAAGGACAAAGAAGCTGGTTTGTTTGGGAAATGGACTGATCGAAAGAAAACTTGCCAAAGTGGAAAGGTGGCTTTTAGCATTCTGTGTTTCCAAATAATGAATTTGAACACCAGGTTGGGTTATTAAAGCTTTTGGTATAATTGTAAATTAAATTGACAAATGAAATTGTCTTGTTACAAGCCACCTTACGCAACCGCGCTGCAGGGGTGAGGAGTGGGGAGAAACCAGAATGCTTCTGAAACTCCCACCTGTTGCTCTGAGCCCCACGCGCATGCTAATGCGTGGAGTGTATGCGCAGCGTAGCTGTCTGTTTGACTGCTTTATCCAGGGAGGGCGAAGGCTTTTCAGCACCATCTAATGTTAAAAGGCACTAGTTTTAAGTGCGTAGCTCATAAATTCTGCTGACACTTTGGATTAACCTTTATGTAGGTTTCCAGCTAATGAATTGTAATGGATTTCAATCTTAGCTGATAAATCTAATTGGTAATTTATAGAACAAATATTTGATAAGCTCCTATTAATTGTCACCCCACCAAGCGGACAGCTAACATGAATTGCACTTCACTGCAGCTTTAGAGATCGGTTTAGGCTGAGACATTGCGCCTGCCTTAGGTTGCTGACTTCTTTATTTCAGAGCTCTGGAGACACCTAGTTTGAAAAATGTTTATTCTGTTTTTGTGAGAACTTAGTGAACAAGAACATACTCTTGAGTGAAATGCAATGTATTTCTTTTGTAATCAGTGCATTTGAAAATTCAAGCCAGCATATTCCTAGTAGATGGAAGCAAAATTAAGTTGTCTTTGTAGAAAACGAAGAGCCTTTCTTCCAGCAAAAATCCCTGCTGTATGCAATAGCCCTGATTAACCCTCTCCCTTCTGCATGTTTCCCATGTTACAGACTTGAGACTGTCCTCATTCCCATATGTAATAGACATCCAAAGAATTTCAATTGCTTTGTTGAACTTTTACTAATGATCTTGTTTTTATTTTCTCTCTTGTTTTTGGTTTTTCACCATTGATATTGTATTTAGAAGGTTTCAGGTGGGTGAAACCTCCTATTCCATGCGTAAGGTGCCTCGCTGAAGGGAGCTCGAGGCCTGGATCTAGGGCAGACACACACCTCCTCCTCTTCCAGCAAGGAACGCACCGAAAAGTCACATGATGAGAAATATGGTAACGGGTTTGTAACTGCCACAGCAAAACAATTTGCCTCCATGCCTGAATCTTCTGTCTTGTGGCTTCAGAAACAGCTTAAAATAATTTTATTTACGAGCAAGTTATGTAAGAGAATGTTTTATACTATAGCCACAATTCTGTCAAAGATAAGTAAAAGTTAATTGATATTAAAAAATTATTAGAGATAATTTACTAGTAAAAGCTTCTAACTCTTCTTGTTGTTCATTTTTTTCCTTTTTTCTTCTTTGTTTGGATTGCAGCATTCTGCTCTTCTGATGATGCGCTGTGACCCTGCAGTAGCGCAAAGGCTGCGCAGCGTTAATGCGCAATGCGTGCAAATGAGCCCCTGTGAACGGTTGACTAGATGAGTAATCTGATTGACTGGCTCCCTCAGTCCTATTGTGTAGCCTTTTTGGATAAAATTGGGTTTTAACATACCTCGAGTCCAACTAATCTCATTAAACAAATATTCTCTCTGGGCCTGTCTAGTAGATTAATGGATCTGGTTGGCCGTTTGCTGCGTCTGGGGGTGTTCTACGTAGCGCAGCAGTCCGCAGCGATGGCGCAGTGCGATGCTGTTAGGTTGCGCAAGCGATGTTTGCGCTCGCATTACAGGGACCTCAACCTAGGTGCAATCCTGTCATATGAGGTTTCAGCTTCGGTCCCCCTTGGGAGTCAGGGGCGTGGCGAGGACGGATAGCCTGGCTTTCTCACACCCGACACGGCGGAAGGGCGTTCTCCTCCTCAGTAGCACAGTTTTGATGTTAGTGAGGAACGGTATTGTTTAGAGCAGCGTTTCCCAAAATGTGTTTCATGGTATTCTAAGAAAATGGTCAATGAAAAAGAGTTCCATGGTCAACTAAGGTGAGGGAGGAGCCCCCCCCCCCCGCCCTACCCCGTATAAACTGTTAGAGGCTTAGGCAAGTTCTGTAGCAAAGAAACCTGTTTTCTGTTTTCCTCATTTATTTGATCATGAAATCCTTTTTTTCCCAGTGATCTCTATTAACATTTTGTACAACACGCTTTGGGAAACTGGTGGGGGTGGCGTGGGGTGGGAAAGCTTGGCTTTGAGTGGCACCCTCTAGCTCTGACTTGAAAACATCGCAGCAGCCCTTAGGTGTTCAGATAGAGACGTTCAGCGTGGAGTCTTGAGGCAGCTGACTTCCCAGATAAGTCCCGATGTAAAGGGCTGGTTATCGGCTGGCAGAACTGAACATGGTGGTTTGCACTTGGGTTCCGGTGGCGCAGGCGCAGGAGCAGCCAGCTGTGGCAGCGCATTAGTTTTGGCGCAAGCGAGCCTATGCTGCAGGGTCACTTTTGGCTGGTCAGAGAAGGAATAATGATATCACCTTCTTCCCCCCCCCCAATCTTTTTTTTTTTTTCCCCTTTACAAATTTTCCCTTTTCCCTTTACCTCCTTCCCCTCCCATCTTCTTTCATTAACCCCTCCTAAGGCATGTTATTTGAAAGCAATTGAGACGCAACCGAACTTTGCAGTAGCTTGGAGTAATCTTGGCTGTGTTTTCAATGCACAAGGAGAGATTTGGCTTGCAATTCATCACTTTGAAAAGGTTAGTCATTAAATTAATAATTGGTACTTGTGACATGCTTATGTGTGCAGGGTGTTTTTACTTAGAACCAAGTAATAGGCCTTTACTTCATCCGTCACTTAATCTCTGTTTATAGCATTTGCTGGATGGCATATGTTAGGGTAGTTTCCAGTTTTGTTGGTTTACTTTAAAAGATTAAGAAACAATCTCTATACCCAACATGGGCCTCGAACTCACTCATGATCCCGAGATCAAGAGTCGCATGTGGCTCCATCGACTGAGCCAGCCAGGTGCCCCCCCACCCCCACCCCCCGGGCAGTTTCCAGTTTTGCATTGAAAATGTACTTTAATTAAATATCCTTTTTTAAGATGGGCAGCTTTAAAGAGGCAGAGTTTCTTGGTCAAAGGCTGATTCCCAGATTGGGGTAGGAAATGTACAGAATTAATCTGGAGTGCCCAGAAAGTAAGGCAGCTTTGATATATATTAATGTCGAAAGGACTCAAAAGGCAACTGGAAGAGGCTCACGCTGGCTAAAGATGGGACTTGAACATTTAGCAGGAATACTAACTGAGATATATTGAAACTTGTCAAATGTGTTTAAATCCGTGAGTTTATAAATATACTAAGAAGATACTCATTTGTTACCTTTGGAAGATAAGGAGTAATTCATTTTGAAAACTGGTTAAAGTGGGGAGAACAAAGCATTTGTCTTCCTTCTCCTGTATGAACTGGACGTCAGGGTAACCCAGTAGTTGATAGGGGGAAGTTTCTATTTATAGCAGTGTTCCAGCTAGTAAATGAAAAAGGAATGATAGAATCAGAGTATCACCATTAATAGATTTAGGCATTTATCAGTGGCAAAGAAGACACAACCAGACACTATGTACTTTGTGATAGAAGTAAAGAAAAGTGAAGAGAAAGTGTTCTTTATGACTCTTCAGTATGTTCACAATTACTCATTACCTTTTCAGTATTTCAGTTACAGTTTGCATTTATTACACTAGGCTCTCTTGCTCGGTGGTTCTCTACCTTGATTGCATGGGAGGGGCTTATAAAAGATAGGAATTCCTGGTCCCATCTTCAGAGGGTCTAATTTAACTGGTACATGAGAGAGCCCAGGCACCCTTTAGGAGGTGAATTCTTAATGTTATGGCCAGGGTTGAGAATCCCTGCTCTGGGTACATCTGGCCATATTTTAAGACAACTTCAGATTTATTTGGATGAAACCATTTAATGGTTAGTATCTATCTCCTTAAGTATCTTACTGAGTGTACAGCTCTAATTACATATCTTACTAAGGTCTTACTGAGTATGTAGTTCCTATTAATGAGATATATATTTCCTTTTTCAGTTAGAGCTTGCTGCTGCTTCTTGCCATTATGTTTTAGAAGAGTTAGGTTTTTTTTTTTTTAAGATTTTATTTAATTTTTTTTGAGGTGGGGAGGGGCAGGTGGGAGAGGGAGAGAATCTTAGGCTCCAAGCCCAGTGCAGAGCCCGACGCAGGGCTCGATCTCACAACCCTGAGATCATGACCTGAGCCAAAATCAAGAGTTGGACACTTAACTGACTAAGCCACCCGGGTGCCCCTTTAAGATTTTATTTTTAAATAATCTCTACACCCAACACCGGGGCTCAAACCCACAGTGCTGAGATCAAGAGATACGTGTTCCACAGACTAAGCCAGCCTGGCATCCCTAGAAGAGTTAGGCTTATTAATCTTGAATAAAATAGGGCCAACCATTAGAAGTTTTTAGCTCAGTAAAATTGGAGCCGACCTAGTTTAAAATTTTTCCCTTCAGGACACATTTTGCTCTCACATAACACAAGTTATTTTGATAACATTGAGGTTTGTGAATAATGAGTGGGTACTAAAATAACAGGGGTTATTAAAGTTTATTTGTTTAGTAATCTTTACACCCAGTATGGAGCTCAACACAACCCCCTGATCAAGAGTTGCATGCTTCTCCGACTGAGCCAGCCAGGCACCCCTATCTGTTTTTTTTTTTTTTTTTTAATGAAAGAAGATTTAACTATACTAGAATATGTAAAATTGGAGGCCTAAAATTATCTCAGAATAAAAAATTGTATTTGGCAAGTTAATCTGAAATCCTAACTTGGCTCTAAGTAGCTGTCTTGTAATTTTTAGGCTGTCACCCTTGACCCCAATTTTCTGGATGCTTATATCAACTTAGGAAATGTCTTGAAAGAGGCACGGATATTTGACAGGTGAGAGAATGCTCTGTTTGATACATTTTCTTGAGTGTTTGTTGTATTGGCACTTGAGACTTTGGACTAAAATTATGACAGTGGCCCATTGAAATACATTTTCCTTTTCTAATATGTTGCTTTTCCCTTATCATGTCTGCTGTGTGCTACCTTTTATTTAGAGGCCTTGTTGCCTGACTTCATTGTTGACTTTCCTCCAAGCCATTATCCTTCTCAGTGGGAATTTAATTGAAATTTCTTTTATTGTAAAGCTGTTGAAATGGTTATCTTCTAGACTAAATTATTCCTTTGATCTGATTCAGAAAGCTTGAGTAAATCCTGACTTTTGACCTTTTTTTTTTTCCTTAGGGGAGAGCTGATTTTCTTATGTGGAAATAGAAAATTTTTCAGTATAAAAGTACATATTTTATTAAGGTGGAATTTTGATGTGAGGTTAAGTATAGCATAGCACGAATTAATTATTTAATTGATATACTTTGGCATAGTATAGCTTGAATTAATTGTAACAAAGCATCCATTAAAAGTTAGTTGCATTGTGTGTGTGTGTATGTGTGTTTTTTATTTACAGAGCTGTGGCAGCTTACCTTCGTGCCCTAAGCTTGAGTCCAAATCATGCAGTGGTGCACGGCAACCTGGCTTGTGTATACTATGAGCAAGGCCTGATAGATCTGGCAATAGACACCTACAGGCGAGCTATTGAACTGCAACCACATTTCCCTGATGCCTACTGCAACCTAGCCAATGCACTCAAAGAGAAGGGCAGTGTAAGGACATTTATTCAGTCTATTTCTTTGTTACCTGGTAGGATTAAAAAAGTTGTTTTTGTACCTATTGTTATTAAGTATCAAAGTGGTAAATTGTTTTACTTTTGAGTTTTGGTTGAGAGAAGAGCAAAGATACCCGTTTTCTAGAACATTACCAGCCATTAGGCTTAACTAAGCAGTTGTTAGAATAGCATCTGTGGTGACTCTGTGATTCCTCCATATAAGTGTGGAATAATTTGTTTTGTTTTCTAGGTTGCCGAAGCAGAAGATTGTTATAACACAGCTCTCCGGCTGTGTCCCACCCATGCAGACTCTCTGAATAACCTAGCCAATATCAAACGAGAACAGGGAAACATTGAAGAGGCCGTTCGCTTATATCGTAAAGCATTGGAAGTATGTTCAGGGTGGTGTGGCTGGATATTTTTTCTGTGTGATAATAGAGGAAAGGCAGTTAAAGTTTGCCATGTCATCCACCTCTTTTGTAAAAACAGTGGTTGAATCATTCTTTGAACCAGTAATTGAGTATCTAAGGTATGAGCGAAGTCGTATGTGACATTCAAGAAAGTCTACATTGAGTTCATTATTTTATGGGTAGATAAGATCTGCACGGAAAAGTTGAACAGTGAGTTACAGTTCGTGAGAGGTTACCAGTAAGTATATAATTTTAGTGCCTGATGGCTGTAATGGTGGTTGGTGGGTGTGGTAGGAGTTTAAGAGACAGATTTCAGAAGAGAGAGATGCTGGAGTAATTGGCATAAGCTAGGATGAGGAGAGGTCTTACCTCCTCACCTTTTGAAACAAGGAGGGTAATAAAATAAAGGAAGAGGTAGAATGTGAGCCACTTGACTTGGAAGAATGAGGAGACTTGGAGAATGTAGACAGAAATGTAGGGATATAAAGATACTTGAGCAAAGTTCTTACCATGGTAAGTTACTACTGCTGGTTTAGAAATTTTTTTTTAAACCTCGGATGTCATCTTGACTCTGTAGGTCTTCCCAGAGTTTGCTGCTGCTCATTCAAATTTAGCAAGTGTACTGCAGCAGCAGGGAAAACTTCAGGAAGCTCTGATGCATTATAAGGAGGCTATTCGGTAAGATCCTCACTGTCTATAATTTTTTTTTTCCTTTACGTTTTTAAATGTTTGGCCTGTGGCACGTTTGGCTTGTGTTAAGATGACTTTTAATAACCACAGACTAACATTACAGGGAGTTAAAGGTTTTTGTACTAGTTGAAGAAAATCTTTGTTTTCTCTTTTAGAATTAGTCCTACCTTTGCTGATGCCTACTCAAACATGGGAAACACTCTAAAGGAGATGCAGGATGTTCAGGGAGCCTTGCAGTGTTACACTCGTGCCATTCAGATTAACCCTGCATTTGCAGATGCCCACAGCAATTTGGCTTCCATTCATAAGGTACTCCTGTTTATTATAATATGTGCGTCTAAGCACCTAATGTTTAATTATGGGACAACTTTTAACCATCCCGCTTGCTTTATTTCCAGGATTCAGGGAACATTCCAGAAGCAATAGCTTCCTACCGCACTGCTCTGAAACTGAAGCCTGACTTTCCTGATGCTTATTGTAACTTGGCTCATTGCCTGCAGGTAAAGAGTAACAGGCCAGTAATTGGCTTTCGGTGTTGCAATCACTTTTTAATTGTTACGTGCCACATTAATCCAGGCCTGGCTGGAGACGTGTTTTTTTAAAGGGTTATCTGACGTTACATTAGGCCAGAGACACACAGAATGTTAAATCTTGGAATAGGGTTTTCTGGGTAATAACTTTTTTTCTTTTTTCCCCAAGACTTTATTTATTTATTTGACAGAGAGAGCCAGAGAGCATAAGCCGGGGGGGCAGGGAGGGTGGGGGTGGCAGAGGGAGAAGGAGAAGCAGGCTCCCCACCGAGCAGGGAGCCCGACATGGGGCTCAGTCCCAGGACCCTGGGATCACGATTCAAGCCGAAGGCAGATGCCCAGTCGCCTGAGCCACCCAGGCGCCCCTGGGTAATAACTTCTTTTTGCCTCCTCTAGATTGTCTGTGATTGGACAGACTATGATGAGCGAATGAAGAAGTTGGTCAGTATTGTGGCTGACCAGTTAGAGAAGAATAGGTTGCCTTCTGTGCATCCTCATCATAGTATGCTATATCCTCTTTCTCATGGCTTCAGGAAGGCTATTGCTGAGAGGCATGGGAACCTCTGCTTGGATAAGGTGCGGTTGTTTTGTTTTAATCTCTTTATGTCAGAGTAAAATACAGATACAGAAAATGATGCAGTTCATATGTATGTGGTTTAATGAGTTACCATAAGGTGAACAGCACCCACGTTGAGAAATGAGACTTTGTCAGCCATCTCAGAAGCTCTTTCCATTGTGTCTGTCTTGATCATGACCCCTTCCTCCCCTAAGTTGGAATCCGAACAAGAGATGGGTGGTGTTTGAAAACCATAGTGTTTAATAAAAGAGTTTGGTATTTTATACTCAGAATTAGAGCACTACTTGATCAGAGGTGGGAATTTGCTCAGCAGAATAGAAAGGATTGGAGTGCTAGATGTAATTCTGTGTTTTAAAAACGCTTCCCTACAGAATTGTCTAAAATGCAAGGTTTGTCGTGCTCTGTCCCCACTGCCTGGGGCTTTCTCCAAGTTTCAGATTTGCTCAGGCTACTTCTTAGGCCTCAGGAATAGGTCAGAGTATGAAGCATATTAACTGCTAAGATTGCTTTGAATTGGCTGTATGACTTAAATGTATTCTGGGCAAACCATTCCCAACAGATGGGAAGTACAGGCTTGTTTTGTTTTTAATTAATTTTCCTAGATGAAGATTTATGTATAGATTCACCTGTACTAACAAGCATTGGCTTCCATTGGTAGATTAATGTCCTTCATAAACCACCATATGAACATCCAAAAGACTTGAAGCTTAGTGATGGGCGACTGCGTGTAGGATATGTGAGTTCTGACTTTGGGAATCATCCTACTTCTCACCTTATGCAGTCTATTCCAGGCATGCACAATCCTGATAAATTTGAGGTAAGACTAGTATTTCCCTAGAGACACTTGTCTGTTTTATTAAAAAAAAAAAAAAAAAAAAAAACACCAAACATTTCTGACTTTCTCATCACCATAGGTGTTAAGCCCAGTGTCTTTTTGAAAGGTCTGAGCCAAGGTTTTTACTTAGTTTTACATTTAATTTTAATTTTTTAATTGAAATACAGGTGACATATGATATTACTACATTAGTTTCAGGTGTACAACATAGTGATTTCACAATTCTGTTCATTATGAAATGCTCACCACAGTAAGTGTAGTTACTGTCTGTTACCATACGAAGTTATTTAATATTTTTGACTATATTCCCTATGCTGTACTTTTCATCCCTGTGACTCATTTTATAACTGGAAGTTTATACATCTTAATCCCCTTCACCTGTTTTACCCATTCTCCTCACCCCCTCCCTTCTTTCTGGCAACCACCAGTTTGTTCTCTGTACTTAGGAGTCTGTTTCTGTGTATTTTTTGTTTGTTCGTTTGTTTTCTTTTATAATTCCGTATATAAATGAAATCATATGGTATTTGTCTTTTTCTGTCTGACTTATTTCACTTAGCATAATATTCTCTAGGTCCATCCATGTTGTTGTGAATGGCAAGATTTCATTCTTTTTTATGGTTCCACTGTGTGTCTGCATGTGTGTGTACACACACATCCTCTGTGTATTTGTTATCCGTTCATCTCTTGATGGACACATAGGAGGTTGCTTCCATATCTTGTTGAGCCAAGGTTTTTAAATATATCATCTGCTGCCTTTCAGGTATTCTGTTATGCCCTGAGCCCAGATGATGGCACAAACTTCAGAGTGAAAGTGATGGCAGAAGCCAATCATTTTATCGATCTCTCTCAGGTAGGTGAAACTCTTATACTTCAAGCTTCTAATTTTGAACAAATAGTGAATGAAACCATTGGGGGTGTGTAGCTTGTATTTTTCATGACAGGTATTTAACATCAGCCATTGCATATGGGCAATTACTTTGATCTTATTTCCCTGAGCATTTACATTTATAGTCAGTGTGGATTGTGCTGACGTTGCAGATGAAATTGAAATGGGGTCTGTTTGTGCTTGGACATAAAATTCTTCTAGGAAGTGCTGGCTTGGAAGAGGAATAAATAGGTTATTTAAAGAAAATAGAGGAACCTAGGGTTCTTCATCATGGTTCATCTGTGTTTGTGGGCTTTGCCTTTGGTTATCTTTATTTCTGCACTTGCTCTGTTGCTATTTCTAGGAGCATAAACTTTATGATAAATTAAGATTGAAACCTGCGGAGGAATTAATTTGCTGAGTCTAGAGGTTTTTCTTTATGGATTCTGTGGGCCACTTTGGTGACTAAAAGGGATATGCAATGTATGTGGTGTATCTAGTAATTGATATATGAATCATTGACGTTCCAGCAGAAGGGTTGTGAGATCCTTGTCATTTAATAAATAGTGTGTACCAACATCTTTGGCAATGTAGCTGTTGCTTTGGGAGTATAGTTAACCATTTTTGATATAGGGTTTGGACTCTTTGTGACCAGGAAGCATACTGCCCTCCACTTCTGAGACATTCAGGGACCCACTGCTTATTGACTGGAGTCTAAACTCTTCAGCATGGCCTTCACAGTCTTTTTTATTTTTAATATTTATTTTAGAGAGAGAGGGCTTGAGTGTGTGTGTGTGTCGGGGGTGGGGAGAGGCAGAGGGAGAGAATCTTAAGCAGACTCTGCCCTGAGTGTGGAGCCCGACAGAGGGCTCGCTCTCATGACCCTGAGATCGTGACCTGAGCCGAAATCGAGTCAGACGCTTAACTGACTGAGCCACCCAGGTGCCCCCGCCTTCACAGTCTAAGTCTGAGCACAGTCTTGTTTGCCAGTACTTTTCAGCCACCATTTGCCCTCATACATACCTTGTAACAAATAGAAGTGATCTATTCACCGTTTTTAAAATCTACCATGCACTTTACTCTGGTTCTTTATTCGTACTGTTCTCTATCGAGATTCTGTTCTGTCCAACTGCCTCAAGCTCTTCTCCATCTTTGAAGGCCCATTTCAAATGCCAACTCCTCTGTGAAGCCTTGTTTGTTTGTTTGTTTTTTAAAGATTTTATTTATTTGACAGAGACACAGTAAGAGAGGGAACACAAGCGGGGGGGGGGGAGCAGGCTTCCAGCTGAGCAGGGAGCCCGATGTGGGGCTCGATCCCAGGACCCTGGGATCATGACCTGAGCCGAAGGCAGACGCTCGATGACTGAGCCACCCAGGTGCCCCTGAAGCCTTGTTATTCATACGTTCTAATCTAGAAGTAAACTCTCCTTCCTGTGTATTCTGTTTCTGTAATGTTTTGGGCCCATTTTAATGGCACTTAACCATATTTTTATGCTGCATTAATGTAATTTGTGTTCTTATGTTATGCACCTGTGACTGAATTCTATTTGATGCCATTAAAACTAATTGAATTAGTTTGAGATTATACATAGTTCTTATATTTTTTTTGTATTCCATAGATTCCATGCAATGGAAAAGCAGCTGATCGCATCCATCAGGATGGTATACACATCCTTGTAAATATGAATGGTTATACCAAGGGTGCTCGGAATGAACTCTTTGCTCTCAGGCCTGCTCCTATTCAGGTAAAGGAATTAATAGTAATTGCTCACAGTGTTTACTGAGCTAAAAAGACAGTGATTCCCCACCCCCCTCTGGTTACCTGGCATTTGAAACAAGAGGGCAGACATGCTTGACTTTTTTTAAAGTATAGTTCTTGAAGTACAGGGACAGAGAATTTTGAGTGTAAAACACAATGCCCAGAGGTACATGTGTATAGAGACATGCAATTCATAGTTGAGTGCAAACAGTTGTTTGGTCTTGTAAATTAGAAAAATGTTAAACACTTAAAAAGGTTAGTCTGAAATACTACGTCATTCCTCTTGGCTAAAGAAGTCAACCCTCCTAGTTTGTTTGTTTAATTACTTTTGAACTCTTCGGATGAAAATTTTTAGGTTTTGGCCTGATTTTTTTTTTTTTCCTTTTAGGCGATGTGGCTGGGATATCCTGGGACTAGTGGTGCGCTTTTCATGGATTATATCATCACAGATCAGGAAACTTCACCAGCTGAAGTTGCTGAGCAGTATTCCGAGAAACTGGCTTATATGCCCCATACTTTCTTTATTGGTGATCATGCTAATATGTTCCCTCACTTGAAGGTAGGTAGAAAAACAGTGCTATGTGGACATGGCGAAGAACTGTAGTCATTTATTTCCTTGCTATTGTCCCTATGCATCCTAAAAGATTTGTCTCAAACTTTTTTTTTTGATTAGAAAAAAGCAGTCATTGATTTTAAGTCCAATGGTCACATCTATGACAATCGGATTGTTCTTAATGGCATCGACCTCAAAGCATTTCTTGATAGTCTGCCAGATGTGAAAATTGTCAAGGTCAGAACCTGATCAATATTGTCATTGAAATAAAGTTATCTGCATTTGGGATCTTTTCCCTAATGATACATTTTGTCATTTTTTTTCTTAAAGATGAAGTGTCCTGATGGAGGAGACAATGGGGACAGCAGTAATACAGCTCTTAATATGCCTGTTATTCCTATGAATACTATTGCAGAAGCAGTTATCGAGATGATTAACAGAGGGCAAATTCAGATAACAATTAATGGATTCAGTATTAGCAATGGACTAGCAACTACCCAGGTGAGAAGAGAATAATAGAGCATAATACATACCACCAAGTATTCATTTAGCTGGGATACCCTGGGACTGGTGGTGTGCTCCATAATAACTCCAGGAGGTGTAAGCATCATTATCCCTGTTTTATAGTTGAGGAAATGAGTTCGGTGGAAATTGGCATCTTACATAGATTTGTCTTATTTTAAAAGTCTCTTGGATTCAGCCAGTAGGTCACTTAATGAGGGTCTACTGGGTCAACAGTATGTTTGTTTGTTTGTTTGTTTTTTTAAATAATTTATTTATTTGACAGAGAGAGAGACAGTGAGAGAGGGAACACAAGCAGGGGGAGTGGGAGAGGGAGAAGCGGGCTCCCTGCTGCAGGGCTCGATCCCGGGACTCTGGGATCATGACCTGAGCCGAAGGCAGACGCTTAACGACTGAGCCACGGAGGCGCCCCTAACAATATGTTCTTATTCCTTGTCTGTGGCTTTCCTCTTATCAACTGTGAATTATCTGTAGACTTCATACAGTTTCTTACTTCTATAACTCATTCTTTCCCTAGTTAAATCTTACTCCCTTTTAAGACTTTCCAGTTCAGACAGCTCCTCGAGGAATCCATTCCTGTCCTTATCACTAATCTCGCCTTTCCTGTTCTATTGGTGCCTGTCTTTTCTGCTTCTATAATATCTGGGATGTATTTTACATCCAGCACAGCATATTATAATTCCCTGTGTTTGTGTATTCTCTGCTGAATTGAATTACTTTAGGGTCCATGTCTTAACCACAGTAATGTAGTATGTGTTCAATAAATATATATTGCATATTGAAGTAAGTGAATATGTAGTTCTGTTGAGATTACAAGGTAAGGATCTCTCTCTTAGGAGTTAACAGTTTTAGTTGTATAAGTTTATACCAAGGGTGCTCAAAATGAACTCTTTTTCTCTCAGCCAGCTCCTGTTAAGGTAAAGGAATTAATAGTAATCACTTACAATGTGTATTGGGCTAAAAAGACAGGTGGTGTGTTTTTTCTTAATCTCTGATTAACTGTCATTTGAAATAGGACAGACATGTTTGACTTAAGAAAAAAAACTGTGTGTGTGTGTGTGTGTGTGTGTGTATATATATATATATATATATATATATTTCTTGAAATACACAGGGACAAAGAATTTTGAGTGTAGAACACAATGCCCAAACGTATGAAATGTCTGTACATACCTGGAATGGTTATGTGACAATTTAAGGCAGTACCTAGGTGTATGGGAATTGCAAGGTAAGACTATAATTAATTGTGTATGTAGATACTTAAAAATAGTGGTGATCAATGTGAGAGGAGATGCAGTAGAGATCATTTGGTGGAGGAAGAATTTAAGTTTAGCCTTCAAGGGTGGGATGTGATTTAGAAAAGGCCATTTCATTCATTAAAAAATGAGCCAAAGCTTGATATTGGATTAATAGGGTTTTAAAAAGAACTTTTTGGCTTGAGTGGTAAATTTCAAGGTGGAGTCTCCCCCCCCCATTAAGGTAATGCTGTAACATTTTTCCGTTTTTTAACTTATGTCATGAATATTTTCTCATAGTTCAAATGACATGAGTTTTAATGGCTATACTATTTGGCATCTTAAGGATTTTTTTTTTTTAAGATTTAGTTATTTGAGAGAAAGAGAGCGCGCGCGCGTGTGTGTGTGAATAAGTGGGGGGAGGGGCAGAGGGAGAGGGAGGGAGAGAGAGAAAATCCTCAAGCAGACTCACCACTAGCCGTGGAGCCTGACACAGGACTTGATCCCACAACCCCTAGATGACAACCTGAGTTGAAACCAGGAGTCAGACACCCAACCGACTGAGCCACCCAGGCACCCGAAGGATTCTTTATTAGTTAAAAAATGTCAGACGCTGCTGACTTTAAATATAAGCACCATATTGTTTTTCGTGTTCCAGATCAACAATAAAGCTGCCACTGGAGAGGAGGTTCCTCGTACCATTATTGTAACCACACGTTCTCAGTATGGGTTACCAGAAGATGCCATTGTGTACTGTAATTTTAATCAGTTATACAAAATCGACCCTTCCACTTTGCAGATGTGGGCAAATGTGAGTATGGGTAGATTCATTATTCATGACTAGAGACTGATAGAGATTATGTAGACGGTCTTGCTGAGGCTGCCCTCCACCCCCATTGAGGAGCTGTTGTGCTCATTTCTTACAAAAGAGTAGTAGATTTTTCAGCCATTTTTGATTTCTCCTTCCAGTGTCGAAATACCATGTTATGAACCTTTTTAATTTATGTATTCAAAACCAGGGATCAGCAAACTTTTTCTTCAAGGGCCAGATGGTAAATATTTTTGGTTTTGCAGTCCATACTCTGTCACATTTGCTTAACTCTGCTACTGGAGCAGGCAAACACCATAGACAATATGTAAATGTAGGAGTATAGATGTGTGTTCCAGTAAAGTTTTATTTACTGAAATAGGCAACATGCCAGATTTGGCTTACAGGTTATATTTGCCAACTCCTGGCCTAAACTGATAGCAAAAGCATCATGTCCACATCCACCCAATGTGTAACAGTTTTGCAATACCGTAGAGTTGTAATCATGAAGGAATTGGTTTATGCCATTACCTCTCGGTTCATCGGACCAGTTTGCATAATAAGCAGGACCTCTGAAAGTTTTAAACTTGACTATCTGTAACTGGCTCTTACTCCATTGGGCTAAAATAGAGATAATTTTTGGTTGATTTTCTTTTTGATATTGGGGTGGGGTTTTTCTTTTTGTATTTTTGGGGTTTTTTTTTTTTTTTTCTGAAGAAGTATGGGTGGAAGAGGAAGGAGATGTACAGGCTTACTGTCCCTTAACCTTTACTTCCCAGTGTTCAAAAAAGCCCAAATATCAAAAGCTTTTTTTCAGAAGTTTGTGGCAAATTGATTTGGCGGCAAAACTACCTGAACTGATGTTAGGCTGTCTTTTGGTCTTTTATATATTCCATTCTACATCTCAAAGCAGAGGTACTAAGGTGTGTGTTTGTTTACAGGGAGTTGCTGCTGAGAGTGCTATATGATATATATGCACTGTACTGTTTTTTAAAAATCTGAAGTATCCGGGATTCTGAAATTCATCTGTTCTTATGCCTTTCAGGGAAGGGATGGTAAACTTGTGTGGTAACATTGAATAGACGTAGATCTAAACCAGGGCTTGGCAAAACTACGGCCTATGGACCAGATCTGGCATGCTGCCTGTTTTTGTAAATTTTATACACACAGTCCTGCGTACTTGTTTACATACTGTCTATGGCTGTTTCCCAGTGACAGGGGCAGAATCGAGCAGTTATGACAGGGTCCATGTGGCTACAAAGCCAAAAATATTTGTTCTCTGGTCCTTTACAGAAAGTCTGCTGACACCTGATCTTGATTAGGCACATGAAGTCAGGCGAGTGTGAGCTAACCTTATTTGTTATGTCATGCTGGGGGATTTAAAAATTGAAATGGAAAATTTCTCGCTCATCGACAAAAACCACTGTCATTAACGATTCCCACAGGACACGGCTGCCTCAGATTTTGCCAATTAGTAACTTGTTTTGTGTCTTACGTCAGTCTTCTCTTTGAACTCTGGGGACCGCTAAGCAGAACAGGCACCTATAATTCATAGTTGATCTGAGTCATCTATGAGGGAAAGACAAAGTTCGAAGGCTGCTCTCTGGGTGACAAGAATAGACTGGTAGAATTATTAGAGCTCTACGGGAGCCTTTCTTGAGAGGGGCAGAGCTGCTATTAAAAATTACTCTTATTTTCCCGGTTTTAGATTCTGAAGCGTGTTCCCAATAGTGTGCTGTGGCTGTTGCGGTTTCCAGCAGTAGGAGAACCAAATATTCAACAGTATGCGCAAAACATGGGCCTTCCCCAGAACCGTATCATATTTTCACCTGTTGCTCCTAAAGAGGAACATGTCAGGAGAGGCCAGCTGGCTGATGTCTGCCTGGACACTCCCCTCTGTAATGGACACACCACAGGGATGGATGTACTCTGGGCAGGAACACCCATGGTGACTATGCCAGGTGAGTTGCTCATAAATCATTGGAATCTTCCTTGTTCTTTTTAAAACCTCCTTTGGGGGAAACATTTTTTAGGTGAAATTGTGTGTACTAGAAGCGGCACTTAGGGCAAGGTGATACGATAATGAGCTTTGTTCAAGTCTAAGCACTCTGCTCCATTCTTCTCATCTGCATTGTGTGGGTACTTAGCATAAATAACATTAATAACTGTGCTATTTACATTCTCAGATGTCCAGTTTGTTCTCTCTCTTTTTTATTGCAGGAGAGACTCTTGCTTCTCGAGTTGCAGCTTCCCAGCTCACTTGTTTAGGTTGTCTTGAGCTTATTGCTAAAAATAGACAAGAATATGAAGACATAGCTGTGAAACTGGGAACTGACCTAGAATAGTAAGTAAACTTTTCTGTGAACAAATTTTATGGTAAAGGAGATAGATAAGGAAAATTGGAGAGAATATAGATGTTACAAAATGAAATCATAAGTAAGGATAATATGAAATAGGTGATTTAGTTGTATGATCTCTAGGTGAGAGAACTTTCTAAACTTTCATAAACGCCATGACCAATAGGTGTGACTGTGTAAAGACTAAATGGCTGAATAAAAGTGAGTCAAGAAAATTAAAAGGCAAGCAAAGAGGGAAAGAAAAATCTTTGTTTCTATGTCAAAGATACAGCTTGGCTATATAAAGACCGAAGAATATTCACATCTTAAATTCCTTAAAAGGAAACTAAACATGGAAATAAATGAACAGACAACTCACTGAAGTAGAAATACAAATGGTTAGTAAGAAAAAGTTTCAACCTCTGTAGTAGAAATGTAAATATAAAATAACATTGTGGTATAGCCATTATTTGCCTAGAAAATAAAATATTTTTAGTATGATACCAGTGATGAGGGAGCACTGAGGTACTGGCCTTTTCATACCTTTCAGACAGTGAGTAAATTGGTAACAACCCTTCCTCAAAGTTTTAAGAGCCTTAAAGGAAACAGCCAGACCTTTGACCCTGTTAGGGTACTACATCTTCACTGGAGCATAAGGGGGAAAAAAACCCCAGCATAACTTCAGTGCCCTAAGTGGGTGGGAATTAGAGGGGTGGTGCTTAGATAAGCAATGCTTTAGCCATACAATGAAGTAGTGTTTATCTCTTAAATGAGGCTTTTCTTTGGGTGTTAGGGGTGATTTTTTTCTTTGTGTTTTTCTGAGAAGTAGCATATTCCAGAAAGTCAGACTGCCTGGGGGTTTGAATCCACCCTCTCCCACTTACAAGCTTTGTGACTTCGGGGAAGTTAGTCTCTATGTGCCTTGCTTTTTCCATCTGTAAAATGGGGATGATTGATAGTACCTACCTTGCAGAGATGTGAGAATTGAAAAAGGTGTTCCATGTAAAGCACTTAACAAAAGTTCTTGGTAAGCATTCAGAAGATGTTCAGCATTTATTATTTTCAAAATTTTCTCCATTGAACATCATATACATCTAAGAAGAATGAGTGAAAATTTTGAGCTCAGCCATTAAAAAAATTAAGGTTTGTGTCCATCATTCCAGAGATAACTACAGTAAATATTTTAGTGTATTTAAAAAATTATTTTGGAGCTTAGTTGATTTTCTGTGATACTTTCCCCCCTAACATTTTGTTATAAAAATTTTCAATCTTATAACACTCCTGTACCTACTGCCTAGATTTTACCACTAACACTTCACTGTCCTTGCTTTATGACATATCTGTCCATCTATTTATTCCTTTATCCATCTATCAATCCATCTTATTTGATACATTTTGCAGTAAATTGCAGACATCCGTACTCCTAAGTACTTCAGAATGGACATCGTTAACTAGAGTTTAATATTTATTTTCGAGACAATTTATATACAGTGGAAGGTACAAATCTTAAATTTGAGTTTTGAGACCTACCTTTATAACCCAAACCCTGTAGTAGTATATAGAAACATTATCATCACTCCAGAAAGTTCCTTCATGTTCCTTCTCAGTTGGTCCTCCACACCAACCGTCAGGACAACTATCACTGTTGTAAATTTTTTTCCCCATAACTTAGTTTTGCCTTTCTAGAACCTTATACAAATGAAACCATACAGTATGCACTCTAAAGGTTTTTTTTTCACTTAGTATAATGTGAGATTTATCCATGATGTTGGCTTATATATCAGTACTTCATTTTTTTTATTGCTGAGTAGTATTTCATTGTATGGATGTACACAGTTCAACCATTCTCCCGTTGACGTAGAGAACTTGGGAAAATAGAGCACAGAAGTAACATTTATTTGGAAGGTAGCATTAATCTGGTCATGGTTGGGTTGAGGCCCACATAATGTGTAGCCATTTTACTAGTTCTGTCACAACAAACCTTCGGACTTTTTTTTATTACTTTTTAAAAATGCAGAGGAGTGTTCCAGCTTCTTGCTCTAAAGTAGTAATTCTCTCCATAGAAGAAGAATCTCATGACAAATTATATATTCAGAAGAGGAATTGAGAAGTTTTTCCCCCTCTGTTCCCAGAAGAATTAAATTGCTTCTTTTCCCTATTTTGAACAGAACCATGGTCTTGGTGATATCGGAAACACTTTTTGTTAATATCTAAATAAGTAATTCATGTGTAAGTGGAAAATTATGGCAGTAGACGTAGTACATTTCTTATCCCCTGGGGTATTTTTCCTATTTCATTAAAATATTCATAAACTGAATACTTCATCTTACGTTCGTGCCTTAGCTATTGTAAATGATGCCTCAGTGAACATCTGTGCATGGCCAGGTTTGCCTGCATCTCTCTTTCCTTTTGAATAGATTTAAAAGTGTTACTGATCAGTCAGAGGGTTGTGAACATTTAAGTTCCTTAACACACACATTGCTAAATTGCTTACGAAAAGGATAAGCAGTGTACATTCCAACTGGTACATAGGAATTGGTACATAGGAATAGACACATGTGATTGCCAATTCTTTTACTTATTTATTTATTAAGATTTTATTTATTTATTTGAGAGAGCACAAGCCAGAGGCAGAGGAAAAGGGAGAAGCAGACTCCCCGCCGAGCAGGGAGCCCGATGCGGGACTCGATCCCAGGACCCTCGGATCATGACCTAAGCTGAAGGCAGACACTTAACCGACTGAGCCACCCAGGCGCCTGCCAATTCTTTCTTTTCCCTTTTTTTTTTTTTTTTTAAGATTTTACTTATTTGAGAGAGAGAATGAGATAGAGCATGAGAAGGGGGAAGGTCAGAGGGAGAAGCAGACTCCCTGCTGAGCAGGGAGCCCGATGCGGGACTGCAGGATCATGACCCGAGCCAAAGGCAGTCGCCCAATCAACTGAGCCACTCAGGTGGTGCCCCCAGTTCTTTCTTTTAAAGGTAGAAGTGAGCTGAAATGGAGAAGGCATGGGATCTCGTGGATATACTTCTTTAGGAAAGAACTGAATATTTTTAGGAAAGAACTGAATATTTTCAGAGGACGTGGAGGCGACCTTGATTATAAGTGTCAGCATTACGTTAGCTGTGACCCTTCCCTTGTTCAGCGTTGAGGTCAGGGTGGCCAGTCAGAAGAGAAACCCGTGAAGTCCAGTCATGTATTTTACCGCAGAGGTGACCGGGAATTTGTGAGGGGCTAGTTCTGAGTTTTTCAGCTCTGATTTGTAAACTTGGTTCTTTTTTGTTTTGTTACCTAGCCTGAAGAAAATTCGTGGCAAAGTCTGGAAGCAGAGAATATCTAGCCCTCTGTTCAACACCAAACAATACACAATGGAACTAGAGCGACTCTATCTACAGATGTGGGAGCACTATGCGGCTGGCAACAAACCTGATCACATGATTAAGCCTGTTGAAGTCACTGAGTCGGCCTAAATAAAGACTGTATGCACAGGAGATTGCCCTTATACCTGAGCCTCAACCTTCTGGGGAAAGGGAACTAGATAACGTACTTTTTACTTATCTGTACGGTATCATGTTGCAGATGGGTGACAAACAATAGAATAGCACAGCCAGACTTGCTTCCTGCATGATAGGGAGAGACACAAGAGATGGGAAACTGCTGTTCCACAAGGAATCTCCACAGAATTTTGCAGCAACCAGGTGGTGCATAGGTCTGGAAGGTCTGATCTCCCTTGGTCTTCCATGGGATGTTTAGTGTGGAGGGGAGATAAAGATTGTCCAGCCGTTTTGTGATTCCATGGATTGATTGAGTCTTCTGAATTAATTTTTTTCTTTATATTTTGGGTATTGGAGCTTTTAAAAATGTTTGGTTTCAGGTATTTTTATTCATGTGAAGTGTATATGATTCTCTTGAGATAAGGTTTTAAGCTAAAATGTTGCTCCTTGTTTTAGTTTCTGAACTCTACAGATTAATGGGGACTTTGCTGGTGTAGTCTTTTTATAGGTTTTATAAACCACTTGAGCCTATATCAGTCGTTTTAGTGTCTGACCTAATGTTTGGAGCTATATCAGTGCTTTGTTGGTTTAGATGATGACTCAAAATTTTTTTCTGGTCCATTTCCCATTTCCTTCTCTTCCCTTCCCCTACTTTAAAGTTTCTCCTGTAACTCAGCTAACAAAACGAAGTCTGATTTTAAATATCCCAGAGTGTTTCTCTTGAACACATCATCTGGTGCCAAATGAAAATTCTTAGGAGTGATTATTAATTATGCAGGGCATAGTTGTGGTACTGTCATTGATGATAATAATATAGATTTTTTTGGGCCTAGTTTTGACCTATTTCACCAGTGTTTTACCTTTGACTGCCCCTCTATGCTGCTTCCAAAAGTGATAGTGTGTGATGAGATTTTTACCTTCCTTTCTCAAGTTTTTTTTTTTTTTTAAGTGAGTCCTGTTCTTCCTATTTCTTTCAGCAGAAATGAAATCCCAGGTAAGTATAAGTATTCACGTATTTGATCAGTAAGTCACAGTTATCTTCAATACGTTAAATAAACTTTCATCAAAAAACATGTTAGAGGTAAAAAGCTCTGAAGGACCAGCTATGTAAATGAGTAATTATTTTTCAGACCTTCTCGGGTATTATATAATAACTGTCTTCTGGACTTGGTCTTGAAATCTGTACGGATGAGCCTCAGTGGTAGCAAACGGCTTTGCTACTTGGTTTGGAGTACAAATTCGACTTTAGCCCTCCTGGAGCTTGAGTTCTTGGTATTAAAACCCATAGGAATAAAATGATTGAATTTTGGCAAAGGATCGAGGGCTTGAGGCTTGAACAAGCCAACATATGAATATATGTTTTGTGTTTGCTGTACTGTACTCACGCTATCCAGTAACAGATAATTTTCGTCTGCTAGTAGTGTTCTAGATTATAATGTCTTTCCAAAGCGCTGAGGCAGTGCACCTATTCTGTAGTTGCAGCTGATGCCTGAATGTATCCTAGCTGACAAATTATTAATAAGAACTTGAATTTCTGAAAGATTCTTACTGTTAACCAAAATCTGAGCAAGGAGTCTCAGATGTAATTCTTGCCAGAATTACATGTAAATGAACTGTGTACCTTTTAACAATGTAAATCAAGAAACATCAGTTTAGGGATTTAATTTATTTTTTACCTGATTGAACTACCAGTCAAAGGTTGCCAGCATGGTTGCAGATAAACTGATGTTTGAAATTCACCAAACTACTTACTGTGGAATAGGAGAATAGACTTCCAGTGCCCTCAAGGCTGTGACCCTACAGCCACCTTACATAGCACATCATTCCTCCTATAGGGATGAACTTTTTTCCTGGCACGAAAAGTAGCCGCTCTGGTTGAAGCTTTGCTTATTGTAATAGGCTTTTGTTTCCAGGTAACATGTCTGTGGAAGATTTAATTCTGAATAGAGATATAGATATTACTGGAAACTAATTGTTTTTTCTATTATACTCTGCTTTATCAAAAAAGTAAAACATTTAAATTGTGCTACAGAAATCCAGATGTTGTCTTGCGATCTTTAAACAATAAATGAATGATTTGCCCTTAATATGGCTGATGTATTTTGTGTTCTGTGAAATTGAGCATTGGACAGAATAACAGGGTCACCTGATGATGAAACTTCTGTTCGAACAGCTCCAAACAACTGGAGGACCACATTTCCCTGGTGGAGCTGTGTGATCTTAAGAACTATTCCGTTTTCTCAGCCAGGTGTGGAAGAGGGGTGGGGTTGGGATCCGATCCATTAAGAGGTGGCTGAAGCCTGTGACTGCCAGCACCCCTCTTCGTGATGGTTTTTATTTGGCCTACGACTGCGACTGCTCTGGCTTCGTCTACCGCTGTGGTCTTCCTCTTCGTATGAACTGTTCGTGTTCTGTGTGGTGGTTGAACTCAGCCACAGGTATGAGGGAGGGTATCAGTGCAGTGGGGATCAGAACAGGCTGTTTAGCTGCCTGTTTTCTCAGAGATAATAAATTGAGGAAAAAAATTTTCAATAGAATTCCAGGGGTGCCTGGCTGGCTCAGTCTAGGTAGAGCATGCAACTTGATCTCGGGGCTGTGAGTTCAAGCCCCATGTTGGGCATAGAACTTTACATTAAAAAAATAAAATTTCAGCTAATGTACCTCCCAAGCTCTGTGGGTTGTGCCCCTCAAAGCCCTGATGTGGATTGGTGTTTGTTTCCTAAAAGGTGGTGGGGAAAGAAAGGTGTCCGCGAGCCTATTCAAAGGTTCTCACTCCTACCCTCTTTGTTTAAGAATCTGCCTTCCGTCCTTTGCGGTCCACTTGAGCTCCTCCTGCCTAAACTCTAAAGGAGTTGCTTTGTGCATCTGGACTAAGCTTGGGTTAACATGATTCGATTCCAGTCAACCCACTTTTTACTTGAAGCCCATGTTTCTTAATATTAACCACCGCTAACATCCAGGTTCTTTGCCCAAACCTCTGAGGCACGCAGTTAGGTAACCCCCATTTTTATCGAAGGGGCTTGTGGAGGTAAACTTTGAGGTTTGTTGTAGAGATAGGGTTAAAATAATAAGCCCCCTTTATCCAACTCCCAATCCATTCAGAAAGTACCTTCCTATATGTAGGCATTTTGGTGCTTCAGAGTTTAGATTCTTATTTTAAGATTTTATTTATTTGAGAGGGAGAGGGAGAACGCGCGAGCGGGGGGGGGATGGGCGGGAGAGGGAGAAGCAGGCTCCCCGCTGAGCAGGGAGCCCGATTTTGGGGGGCGGGGGGGCTCGATCCCAGGACCATGACCTGAGCAAAGGCAGATGCTTAACCGCCGGAGCCAGTCAGCCGCCTCTTAAGATTTTATTTTTGAGTAATCTCTTATAACGCGGGACTCGAACTCTGGTGCGGCGCTGCTGGAGTTTGAATCCCAGCGCTGGCGCTTTCTAGCCATGTGATCTTTGTAAAATGAGTGCTTAACGTTGCCTACTTTTTAAGGTGTCTTAAAGATTAAATCCACAGAAAACACTTGGAACAGTACCTAGCATGAAATAAACGCAATATTATTAATACCTTTAAGTGCACGGAGGTTTTACTTGTGTTCTGTTGGCCACATGCTTAAATCATGAAACGTACCGGTGTCTGCTGGAGAAATGGCACCGTCTAGGAAGCATTTACTTCCCCGGTTTGTTTTTCTCGGTGTGTTGGGAGCGAGTGCCAAAAAGCTTCAAGTAACCAACCCCTCTATCTCCAGGGTTTGGAGGGTTCTGGAAGCAAACGTCATAGTTCAGTGTTGCCAGGCGCTGTTGGATCGATGCCTTGTTCTTATCTAGGGGTCTAGGTGGCTTTCCCGCAACCCCCCTAGCTCAGAGTAGTTGTGGAGGTGGGGGGGGGGGCAGGCAAACGGGCTTAGAGGTTCGGGCGATTCCGGCAAGGAACGGAGCTTGCTTATCCACGTTCTCACAAAGATGAAACTTGAGGAAGATTGAGCCCAGTTCTTCCCCGTCACCCAAAGTTAATTTGGGCATCGGCAAACTACAGAAACCGGCTCGGGGACCAGAGCTCTGCGTGAAATGGCGCTTTTCCGTGACAAGCAGCACCCGTTGAAGTGATAGACCTGACTCCGGAAGCACTGCGGCTGTGGGCGCCAAATTTGAGTTCCTAGCCGCGAAGTTTAAATTTGCCCCGTGACCATCCTGTGATAGGTGGGTACGGGGAGCATGAGAACACGTCAGTTCCTATCTCCCCCCCGCGGAGCCCGGGCTCTATAAAAGGTCTTCCGCCGGGCGTCCCCTCGCAGTTGCTCAGGAGCTCCCACACTGTCCACCACCTGCTGGAGGTGAGCAGCGATCGGCCACGCTAGAGGCGGCCGGAGCAGGTAGGCGCTGGTGGGGCTGAGGTGGGTACTGAAGCGGGAACGATCTTGAAGCTCAGCCTAGTCGAGCGGACCTAATTAAAATCAGGACCGCCACATGCCCTGACTGACCATGAACCTTGGGACTGAGATTATGGCAAAATATTTTGCCGGCTTCCACTTGTAAAAAAGGCTTTTGGAAGAAACAAATTTTTTTTTTTTTTTTTTTTTTTTTTTTTTTTTTAGCGATATTAACTCCGCTAAAGCAAAGATGAGGAATGGGGGTGTGGAGATCCCCGTGGGGGAATGAGGGAGAAGGGGCCTAGGGGGGGGGGGGGGGGGTGGGGGGGGGTCGTCTAGGCCTGAGCAGTGGAAGGAGAACTAGCTGAGATTGCGGCGTGGGGGTGTTAGATGCCTGATCCTGGAAGGCCGGCGGGCCGATTGAGGTCAGACTAGGGGGTGGTAATGTGGGCAAATGGAGGGTGGGTAGGGGTGCATGTGGGGGGTGGGGGGTGTCTGATCTGCTAGCTGCGGTGAGAGGGTTGTAAGGGCTCAGTGAGTGGGGGTTTTGAGACCGGATTGGTTGTACGACTGTGGGGGGAGGGGGCAGGCTGGCTGGGGGAGCTGGGGGGGGGGTCTGGGCCTGCGGGTCTAAGATTCTGGGGTTGGAGGGAGAGGGGGAGTGGGGGGGTGAGTGGCGCTGTCGAGGCCAGATTGGTGCAAGACTGGCTGGGGGCAGGTTGGTCTAAGACCTCGTGGGGTTGGTGGCGGTGTGGAGACCTGACTGTGCAAGATTGGTTGGTGTCGGAATTGTTGGAGGTGGGGTCTGGACCTGCTGGTCTAAGACCTCGTGGGTTGGGGGAGGTGCAGGCGGGAGGGCGGGGGTGGCTAGTGGTGTTGAGACCTGATTGGCGCAAGATTGGCTGGCAGCAGAAGTGTTGGGGGTGGGGTCTGGGCCTGGCGGTGTGAGGCCTGGTGGGGTTGGGGGAGGGGCAGGCGGGGGGGGGGGGGGGGCGGGGGGGGGGGGCGGGGGGGGTGAGTGGAGGTTTTGAGGCCTGATTGGTGCAAGATTGGCTGGCTGTGGACGTGTTGGGGGCGGGGTCTGGGCCTGTTGGCGTAAGGCCTCCTGGGGACCAGAAGGGGGTGCAGGGGGGTGGGGGTGGGAGTGGGGGTTTCGAGGCCGCATTCGTGCAAGACAGGCTGAGGCAGAAAGCGAGCATAGGGAGATAAAGGCATTGGGGGAGGGTGGAGAATGGTTGGAGGTGGGGGTGACCCGATTCCCTGTAAGACCAGCGGGAGGTGGGTACAGTAGGGGGATGGGGAGAGTAGAGGTTGGATAGCGGTATGTAGTGGCCTGGTCTGTGTAAGACTGCCTGGGAATAGGAGTAGAGAGGGGGAGGGGTGGCAGAGTAGAGGGGTCAAAGCCTGATAGGTGGAAGACTTCTGGGGCTTAAGGCAGGAGTAGGGAGAGTGCAGGCGTGGGGTGAGTGGCGGGCCAGCAGGGATGTGGGGAGTGGGAATCCGTTTTGAGAGAAGCTATCCCTGGGCCAGGGACTGAATAGGAGTTAGTGCATTATAAATCCTTACAATGGGGAGAAAATTTCTCTGGGGGTTAATAAATGAATGATTGGATTGTCCTTGCACATCTCTATACTGTGGCGGTTGAGGTGACCACCATGTGCTTTGGGCTTTCTGATTGATCTGCAAAGAACCTTTGCAGGGCGTGGTGGGAGAGGGTGTCTCTCTAGTTTTCTCCATCCAGGGAAAGCCTGCAACAAACATTTTAATATGCCTCGTTTCGCAGAGCAAAGCTTTGGCCTGAAATTAGGGTGAATAAGCTGCTCAAAAGATAAATGGCAGATTGTAGAAATGTTGGTTCTGGGGGCACCTGGGTGGCTCAGTTGGTTAAGTGCTGGACTCTTGATCTCAGCCCAGATCTTGATATCAGGGTCGTGAGTTCAAACCCCCCTGCATTGGGCTCCGTGCTGGGCATGGGGCCTACTAAAAAAAGAAAATAGAAAAGAAATGTTGGTTCTGGGTTTTGGTTTTCTTTAAAGAGTATATTTTTGTCTTGACTATAGACACGGACATGTCGGAAGAAACAGCTGGCCAGTCTAAGATCCAGGATGATGATTGGTGAGACTTGAAAAATTCTGTTTTCTTTTAGTTTAGTTCTTGTGTTGGCAAAATGACTTTCGGCAAAAAGCGTATGTTTCTTTCGTTTTGAGTTTGCAGAGTTAGTCATAAAATGAGAACTGTAAAAGGGATCTTAGAATCATATAGGAGTCCAGCCTCTTAGTGCACGAATCCTCTATATAACGTCTCTCTCAGTGGCCAGGAGCATACAACTCCATGAAGCAACACAGTGCATTGTTGAATATGCGTAATTTCTAGAAAGTTCTTCATTCTAATGAACTTAAAACTTAGGTTACTTCCATCCCATTGTTCACAGTACTGCCCTCTAGAGGTGCACAGATGAAGTGTTTTTCTTCTCCACGATAAGGGGGTGTTTTAAGATAGCTGTCTTATCTCTTAAGTCTTCTCTCTCCTGGAACACTGCCCTGATTGCCTCCTTCACAGATAAGCGTGTAAGCATATAACATGGGAGAAAGTAGAAACCATAGAACAGAGAGTCTGGAAATAGACCCAAATACCCAAATGTGAAAACTGAGTTCATGATTAAAAAAAATGACATTTCAAATCAGTGGGGAAAAGATGGATTCATCAACAAATAATTTGAAGATAACTGGCTAACCATTTGGAAAAAAATAAGAATTGGATTCTTACCTCCCCTCTCCTTACAACAAAAGAAATGACACATGGATAAAATATTTAAAAATTAAAATCATTTAAAAATGTTAGAAAACAGGTAGATTTTGTTTCTAATAACTTTGGAGTGGGGGAAGCCTCAGTTTGATATCAAACAAAAGTATATTCACATTACTCGTGATAAAAGGCTGTTTTTCTCAGTCTACAAAGAACTTTTACAGGTCAGCAATTAAAGGTGACCCACACACATGAAAACTGGGCAAAAGATATCAGAAGGTAGTTCTTAGGAAAAAAATACAGGTGACCCATAGACATTAAAATTTATCCAACTTTACATTACTTATATATGAAGAAATGAAAAAAATTTTCATGAGATACCATTTTTCATATATCAGATTGGCAAAGATTAAAAAAACTGGTAATAACTGGAGTTGGCAAATTTGTAGGAGAACAGGCAATTTCCTATAGCCATCGTGGGAATATAAATTGGTGCAACCTTTTTGGAGGGCAATCTGGAAATATCCCAAATTGTCAATGCCCATGTCCTTTGACCCAATAATTACTAGGACTTTTTCTTTCCCTGTTAGAACAATTTTATTTAATGTCTGTGTGTGTGTATATATATATTCACATATACTGAAGTGCATAAATGTGGTTATGTCATACATTCTTTCTGCGTATTCACTCTTAGTTGTTCTTGACTCCTTTGCCCCTTCTCCCATGTCCCTTTTCCCTATAACTCATATTTATTTAATCACATAGGGACATAATACAGGCTGATTTGGTCTTTGTTCACTTCTGGGGAAGAAGGATGAATGACTTAATTACTAGTCCACAGAGAAATAAGTACAAGGATGTTCGTTGCAGCATTGTTTGTAATAGCACAAATTTGGAAAGAGTTTAAGTGTCCTAAGGGTGTAGTTGAATGGATTATGGTTCCTCCAAAAAAAGTGTGGTAAGACATGTATGTTCTGGTAACAGAAAGACTAAGATACATAAAGTTAAAAACTACCAGGGGCTGAACAATCCATGTAGCACAATACTATTTATTTTAAAAATAAAATGTGTGCACTTGACTTGTGCTGGTATGTGCTTATGTTTAAGAGCTCTCTAGAAGAATAAATAAGACACATTGTTTATTCCTGGTGAGTGGGACTCTTGGAGGAACAGGGACAAAGTGTTCCTCTCCCTCACTCCTCTTTTCAGTGTTCTTTATCACTCAGAAAGCTATCTGGTAAACATAACATTGATAGTCATTAAAATGGAAGGGGGGATTAGCAAAAGAATGCAGCAAACAAACATGGGAAAATACATATCTTAAGGAATAAAAAGAAATGCAAATTTCAGTGTTATTTACTTACTAAATTAGCAAATGAAAAAAAATTATCCTATTATAGTAATGTCGAACTGTACACCGCTCTAATCCTTTGGAAACGATTAAGCAAATGTACCAAGAGCTATAAAATTGGTCATACCTTTGATGAATTTGACTTTTGGGAATTAACTTTGGGGAGATCCACTTTATAAAAGTAATTAAACGCACAAAGATGCTTGTTGCAGCATTCAACTGAAAAATTAATGTGTGTTATCACAGATGCACAGGGTAAAATTCCAAGCTCTCTCCCTGACCCTCAGTCACTTGCCCCAATTAGTGCCCTGGGCGGATGGTTGGCATTAGTTCTCCTGAGAAGTAAACAGGCAGTCTGCTTTATTAGTCAGCCCCTTGCAAATCTGGTTAACAGGAGTCCTTCCTCTAGCATTTGACGAAGCATTGAGAGACCCCAGTTCCGGAAGCTACAGCTGCGAAGACCAGATCCTAGAGTTCTGGGTGGAAGATGGCTCTTGAGGCTGGATAGTGACCGGCCAGGCTCTCCACCCACCCTCGCTGCAAGTCGGGACCATTACGTTTCAAGATCTGGGCACTGTGTTTTCATCAGTGCAGATGATGCTGTTTTTTTGTGTGTTCGTTTTTACGAACAGAGGCTCACTCTGTACCTCACGTAACCTTCACATAAGGTTCGCATTAACTGGTCATGTGTAATTTTTTAAATGGAGAACATTTAAACAGATCTTAAATGGTGAGATCTCGTAGGCAAAGTCTTTTACAAACAAGGTTCTGTGGGGGTGTGGGTGGGAGGGTGGAAAATAATAAAAGGGGTCCTCGGAACCACTTTTTGAGATTCGTTCATTCTTTCACTCAGGCAGATAGTCAAGTACTGACTTTGCACTGAACAGTGTGAAACAGGTATACTTCCAAATCCTTGTATGGTTTACCGTCTGGGATGGGAGATAGAAACATGTAAGCAAGCAATTACGGTATAGTGTGATAAATGCTGTGATGTGGGAGAGGTACGTGATCCTGTAGGAGGGCAGACATTATCTTATTTTTCACAGTAGCCCTATGAGATAAGTGGTTCTTTTTTTTTAAAGATATATTTATTTTAGAGACAGAGTGGGGGGAGGAGCCGAGGGAGAGGGAGAGAGAAAGAATCTCGAGCAGACGCCCCACTGAGCGCAGAGCCCGACAGGGACTCGATCTCACGACCCCAAGATCATGACCTGAGCCGAAATTAAGAGCTTAACTGACGGAGCCACCCAGGCTCAGACCCCAATTCTGAGACTTCTTTCCCACAGTTTCGAAATTGGGATCCATCACACATTTGATAGCATGTCAAAAAAAACACTACCTTGCTAGTGTTTTTTTTTTTTTTTTTCTTTCCTGGAAGTACATATGTCTTAGATGAGATGGAATGTATTCTAGAAGTAGAGCCGACAGATCTTGCTGATGGATTGGATGTGGGAGGTGAGTGAAAAAGAGTGGAATCAAGGATGACTCTTCTAAGTTTTTGGTTTGTGTTACTGTGTGGATGGTGGATGGTGGTGCCATTGACCGAGATTGGTAAGTCTCCTCTAGGTAGGGAACAGGCTTGAGGGAGGAATTCTGTACTGGCTGTGTGACGTTTCAAATGCTTAGTAAATGTCCAAGAGGTCACGCAGACAGTTGGAGCTCAGTGAAGAGCTTGAGGCTGGATTTAGAAAATTGGGGGATTTGGGGTCTTAGGAAAGTAGAATGAATGATCCAGGAGAGAGGGGACAATAGTGCAATACAGAATGGAAAATTGCAGGAATAAAATCCTTGAGAAGGTGGGAGGGGGATGAGATCCGAAGGGCAGGGGAGGGTTTGGCCAGAGACAGGAGTAGGAACATTGTGTTCATTGTTAACTGTAAAGAAATAAGAGAATTGGGTGTTGTTGCAGATAGGACAGTAGATTCGCTCGCTGGTGGGAGGATGAGGCAGTTCCTGTCTGATGGCTTTATTTTCCCAGTGACTTATGAGACAAGGTCGTTAACAGAATGAAGGAGGTTTCCACAGGTTGAAGGCAGAAGGACGGCTGAAATGCACAATGCAAGGGGGAGGAGACTGGTTTTCATGGATCAACCAAAGCCCAGTTAGTACGCTTTGGTGGCCTGGCCACTGACTAGTCTTTTTTCAGCCCAAGATGCTTTGTTTTGTTAATACTACAAGATGGATGAGCAGAAATAGCGTATTTTAAAAATCACCAGGGGCGCCTGAGTGTCTCAGTCAGTTGAGCCTCTGACTCTTGGTTTCAGCTCAGGTTATGATCTCAGGGTCCTGGGATCAAGCCCCACGTTGGGCTCTGTGCTCAGTGTGGAGTCTGCTTAAGATTCTCTTCTCCCTCTGCCCCTCTACCCCCCCCACCATGCGCACACACTCTTTCTCAAATAAATAGATAAATAAAATCTTTAAAGAAAGAGAACCAAGGTCACGTTTTGACCCATACCTGGGAAACCTTACACCCAGCAAGAGTTTTCTTTGCTGATTAAGAAAAAATTTTGATGCTGAAACCTATAATACATTATATGTTAACCAATTAAATTTAAATTTTAAGTAATTGGAAAAAATTTGAGGTCTACTCCTGAGTAAGTCCAGTGTACAGTGACAGGTACATGAACAGGAAATTGAACCAGGGGCGTGAGTTAGCATGTATCTTGAAAAACTGAGAAATATTATCGATCCAGTATTATAATCCGATATAAAAATATTATCCAATATATTATCAGTCTAATAACCAACCTCAAGGTTAAAATGAATGCCCTGAAGAAGTGGTGAAAGCTAACTTGATATATGTAAGACCTTATACATAAACCCTTATAACTATTAGGTTCACCTTTAGCACTTCTGGTTTCCTCTCTGAGCTCTGTGTCACGCTAACTAATGCTAAGATAACCTGTGATGAGGTCCTAGATTGTAGCCCGGTGCATTATTGGGGGGCAGAGAAGCAAGAGGTCCCAGCATCATGGTTCACTGCAGGGAGCAGCTGTAGCTGGGCAATCACCCTTCGTTTGCCTCCCAAGAAATGGATTTCAGCATTTGCCCATTGAGCCAGACAGCAGTCCCAATAAGTAGGCCCTCTTCAAGCCCAGTAAAGTCCTAAAAGGTGTCCTTGCTCTTTTGTCCTTCTGATTTTTAGCTGTTTAGAGAACAGAGATTAGTTTAGAGAACTAATCTCTTCATCCTCGAGTCCTTTCACGTGTGGCCCCTTTCACTTTCATATCTTTCTTTTCCTCTTTTTCTTAAAGATTTATTTAGTTATTTTAGAGACAGAGTGGGGGTGGGGAGGAGCAGAGGGAGAGAGAGAGAGAATCTCCGGCAGACGCCCCACTGAGCGTGGCGCCCGACTCAGGGGCCGGATCTCACGACCCTGAGATTATGACCTGAGCCGAAACCCAAGAGTTGGATGCTTTTTTTTTTTTTTAAGATTTTATTTATTTATTTGACAGAGACACAGCGAGAGAGAGAACACAGTGAGAGAGGGAGAGGGAGAAGCAGGCTCCCCGCGGAGCAGGGAGCCTGAGGCTGGACTCCATCCCAGGACCCTGGGATCATGACCTGAGCCGAAGGCAGATGCTTAACGACTGAGCCACCCAGGCTCCCCCTCACTTTCACGTCTTTAAGTAGAAATAAATCACTTGGCACAAAACAGGCTTCTAACTAACATTCTGCGGTAAAGACTGAGCAGCCTGTTGCTCGCAATTTTTCTTCACCTCCCTACTGTGATCTTAATTTCATAACTCTCTAAAACTTTTTATGCATAGCAGAAAGTCTGACGGGTGGTTGTCTCCGTGCGAGATTCTGCCTGTGGGCTTGCGTATGCTACGCTTAGTGGCCTTCCTTTATAACAGTGTGTGTCTCATTTTTTGCAGTTGCATTGTTACTTTGGACTCAAGCAGTGATGAAGAATTTGAGTCCCGTAAGTAGCATCCCCGCAAAGCAGTAATTTCCGTTTCAAGGCATAACTTAACCCTGTCTTTGTGGAGATGACTGAAATGTGGTTTGGGACAGCTGGTGTGAGCCGGTCCTGGGTTTGTCTCCTCTAGGGACTCTCTCCAGATTGATGAGGCAAAGACCGTTTCCCTGCTGTTAGAAGCAGAGACAGTTCTTTGGGCTTGTTTTGCAGTTTGCTACCTTGAGCTTTTTCATTCTAGGCCTCCTGACTTTTATTTCCTCTCTAGCTCACATGGGGTGGGGTGGGGGGTATATAAGTCTCCCGAGGATTTTAACCGGCCCTAACTTCTGGACTTGGGCTTGAGGGAGTTACAGATGTGGGTAGCCAGGTTTTTATCCTCCTTCAGACGCTTCCTGACACCCTCTTTCTTTGTCTGATTTAGTTGGAACCAAAACGAAGGAGCAGAAAGGGAATATTAGGTGAGTAGGAAAATTAGCGAAATTTGACATTTGTTGAAGAGTGATGTTGTGGGTAAGAAGTTTTACGAATGAACCTCACATTTCCTCTCCGAGCACTATGTTCAGGGTCATAGTGGGTATCTGATCTCACAGCCAGATTCAAAGTATTAGATCTTTATGCCAGGCCCATTATCTAATTGGTCAGTTTCTTCCTCAGAACGTCTTTGTGTTTGATTCGTCCTCTAATTTGCACTCTCCACTCTTCAGGCCCTTATAGGCCCGCGTGCCAGACTGTAGGAGGTGCTAAGAAAATTGACTGGAATAAATCCAAAATAGGATGTTAGTTAACTGATGTTTCCACACTGAATCCTTGAATTACCGTAGTGGGTTTGTTGAGGTATGAGTTACATAATGGCAAAATTCACCCTTTTAGGTGTACGGTTTGAAATTTGACAAAGCTATATGGTAGTATAAACATTACCAATCAGAGAGGTGATGCAGGATATTTTCCTCACTGTCACTTACATTTTATTTTATTCTTTAATTTTCACAGAAAAAATTTTTTCTTTTGTGTTTTGACAGTATTTTTATTTTTATCTCTATTTATTTTTGTGAGTAAAGCAATAGAAGTTTATTAAGTGAAGACAGAAAAAGCTCTGAAGAGTGAGAGGGCTCCCCACAGGGTTGCCCTATGTTTTTATTTTTTATTTTTATTTATATTTTATTTTTATCTTTTTTAAGACTATTTTTTTTAAGTGATCTCTACACACAACGTGGGGCTTGAACTTACAACCCCGAGATCAAGAGTCGCTCGCTCCTCCGACTGAGCCAGCCAGGTGCCTCTACGGTACTTTTTGTTTGTAATTTTTTAATTTTTAATTTTAATTCCAACATAGTTAACATACGGTGTAATACTAGTTTCAGGGGTACAGTGTAGTGAGTCGGACTTCCATATGTCACCCGGTGCTCATCATGTTCGTCGTTTACATTTCAAATGCTTTATCGTGGTTTCTTAGTGGTTTCCAGTGTTATACATAATAAAGGCCTTATTTGATAATACATTTAAATATCCAATTTTTACATAGAAAAATTGGTTTCTTCCTGCCTCCACTAGATAGATGTTGAACAAATACGTTGAGAAAATCTGTTTTAATGGGCCTGCTGGGAATGCCCACAGGTCTTGGTCCAGTCCCTGGAAGCTACTATAGTGGGATATTGGAGGAAGGGTGGAACTGGAGAGGAAGGGGCAGAGTTCAGTTTTGGGCGTGTGGAGATGGAGGGGCCCGTAGGCAGGGCCGATACTCAAGACATTTAACGACCAGTAGAGTACAGATGGGGACAGTCAGGATGACTGCCCGACCCGTCAGAACAGACCCCATCAATAAACAGCAGCTAACGCTATTCCTGGGCGTGCAGACTGCCAGTCAGCCCTACCCACAGGATATCCAGGTAGGAAGTTGGAACCGTGGAGCTGGAAGTCAGGCGCATGGTCGGGCTGGATATAATGGCTTGTGCTGGTGGATAGGGGATGGCCACGCGCTCCTCAGGAATTGATTAGCTTGGTGTGAAGGCACTGTGGAGAAAGCCTGGGGGTGAGCTGAGGAGGAGCGGTGAGTGAGAAGGAGTGGATGGAGGGCGGGAGGAGAACCGAAACGGAACAGTAACTTGGAAATCCAGAAAAGAGTTTTCAGGAGGGAATGACCAACAGGAGAGCCAAGGCCCCTCAACCTGGCAGCTTAAACGTGGTGAAGATGAAAAATGGCAAATCAGGAACGACGACTGAGTAGTTCCGAAGAAGGGGAACAGAGTTGCTGTGGGGAATAAGTCAACAGAACTTTGCCAAGTGCTCATGTTCATGGGAGAGGAGTCAGGAAAGGCTGTGAACACAAGACCGTGGTGCTGACGTTTCTCTTGTTTTTCCCTGTCTCCTCACTCAGCTATGTGGTGATTGACTCTGACTCTGAAGACGAATACTTCAGCAATAAAGTCAGAGCTCACAAACCTGACATAATCATCCAAGGCAAGTATACTAGTAACCGAGGGAAGTAGCTGAGCTTGCAGCCCCGGCACATGGTGGCGTCGGGTTACGCGTCAGCAAACGTTTGATTCCGGCGCCCACTTAGTAGCGGGTGCCGCCATTTCTTCCCTCGTGGGTGCTGGGTGTGGATATGGCGGGATCCCCCCCCCACACCTCCTCCCTGGTGAACCTCCGAAGACAGCAGCAACTGTTCTCGGCGCTTTAGACCTTGACCATCCCCCTCCACAGAGTTCTGACCTACCTATATTATAGGGTCCCCCCCCCACCTATACATAGGGACCAGGGGGGAAGGAAGTCAGGAACTGATACTACGAAGGTATGAAGGCTACTCTGCTACTCCACGCCGCCCCCCTCCGTCCCCCCCACTCTTTTCCTCCTCCTCTGTGTGTGGGAATGACAAAGAGAGGGAAGGTGAGAGGCGTGGGCTCATTCTTCCCAGCCTGGTGGAGACTTAGGTGGATGGTGGTGCTGAGTCAGCCCACAGTGACTTCTCGGGGGAAACCCTTGCTTTCTCCAGCTAGCTGTGAGTCTTTGCCTTTCACCATTCTCCGCATATTTTCTAGAGATTTCTGTTCTTCTCAGAGCCCATTTTCCACAGCTGATCTTTGCACCTTTGGCCTCAGAGGCTCTTTTAAAAACCTTTCCAGAGGCATGGAGCTATACTCGTAGTTCAGAACCTATTCAGTGGGGGTGAAATGTAGGAAGACTAGGAGCTTCCTTTTTTTTTTTAAGATTTTATTTAATTATTTGAGAGAGAGCGAGAGCAGGGGAGGAGCAGAGGGAGAGGGACAAGCAGACTCCTCGCTGAGTGTGGAGCCTGATGCGGGGCTCGATCTCACAACCCCTGAGATCATGACCTGAGCTGAAATCAAGAGTCGGATGCTTCACCCACTGAGCCACCCAGGCGCCCGAAGACTAGGAGCTTTTTAACCCTCAGGGATGGTACTTTTTTGATCCTTGTTCGCTTAGTACCTGGTATAGGGCATGATACCATAGGCCTTCCATTAAGGTATCGGCACCCTTAAGGTACTGGCCACTTCTTTAGTAACTACCAAAGAGCTACCATTGGCCAGATTCCTGGCTAACCTGGGTCATCAGAGCAGGGAAAGGAGTGGTGGCTTGGAACCCTAGTCTACTGTTCCACTACCTGTCCCCTCTCATTGAGTTTTCCTCTCCTCTCTAGCTTGGAGTGGATGTGCCTGAGTAGGACAGAGGTCCGGGTGCAGAGTAGGGGGCATGACATGACGAGCCACTGTAAGGGGCCAGAGGGAGCCCTAAGAGAGGTAGCTTTAGAGTAGGGCATGAGACGGGACACCTGGGTGGCTCAGTCGGTAAAGCCCGCATCGGGCTCCCTGCTCAGCGGGGAGCCTCCTTCTTTCTCTGCCTGCCACTCCCCCTGCTTGTGCTCTGTCTCTCTCTCTGACAAATAAATAAATAAAATCTTAAAAAAAATAGAGTGGGGCATGAGAGACAGCCAGAAAGCAGCTCATCACCATAGGTGACCACTTGCTGACTTGTTTCATCGGAAAATCCTTATTTTTGTTTTTGAGGAGGAACTTTGAACTAAGGCTGCTCTTACTTTCTGACTGGTGGACTCTTACCGGTGGGCATTCATCCCCATAAAGGAGAGCTGGAGAATGCTCCAGTAGGACTGTCTTTGTGGGTCTCTCTACTGTTCTCCACCTGCCACTTCTTTCCTTCTTGTCATGAGCTGACACCTCAGAAATGAGGTTAATGTTAAGAAAAAGGGCTTGAACACAACACTTCTGAGGTCACCTCTAACCTTTGTCAATGTATAGTCATTGTTCTTTTGTAGATTATAAGCAGTGTGCCCCTCCCCCTCCCCCTCTCTTCAAAATTTCAACTTCAGTTGAGAAATCTTTAAAATTTCTAGGAAGGCTGACTTTTTACCATAGCAACACCCACTCCTTTCTCTTTCTTTATTGCATATCCGAAGTTCTTTGATGATGAAGTGATAGATGAGACTCACAAAGTATGTGATCCCAAATCTGCAAGTGCAGGAGAAAGACTTTTTGTACCGTAAATATATTGTCACATCTTGCCTGTGCCGTGGTTTATATTTTTTTTTAAAAACTTTTATTTATTTGACAGAGAGAGAGCACAAGTAGGCAGAGAGGCAGGCAGAGGGAGAAGCAGGCTCCCCGCTGAGCAGGGATTCCCGATGTGGGGCTCGATCCCAGGACCCTGGGATCATGACCTGAGCCGAAGGCAGCGACTTACCTGACTGAGCCACCCAGGTGCCCCGGTTTATATTTTTTTTTACATCCAGAACCCGAGGAACCTGGAAGGTGAGCTCTGAACAGACTCCAGAGAGCATGTGTGGTGTTAGATATGCCACGCCTCATTTCTAGATGAGGGGACCCTTGGCGAACATTCCAAATGTTCCCAAGGCTTCTCAGTGCTGGCAAGAGGAGTGACCTCCTCACGCTTACATCAGTGGCTCTGAGAGCTTTGCATTTGTGGGCTAGTTAGAAAATTAAATTTTGATGGCTAACATAGAGTTGCCACTTTTTCATTTGTCTAACGGTGGGAATAAATTCTAACTAACATCTGCTATTGCCATAATTTCATAAGGTAAAGAAACCAAAAGTTTAGGGAGGATATACTCTCAAAATAAAGGACAGTCCTTTATTTTTTTATTTTTTTAAAAGATTTTATTTATTTATTAGAGAGAGAGAGAAACAGCATGAGAGGGGAGAAGGTCAGAGGGAGAAGCAGGCTCCCTTACTGAGCAGGGAGCCTGATGTGGGACTCGATCCCAGGGCTCCAGGATCATGACCTGAGCCGAAGGCAGTCGCTTAACCAACTGAGCCACCCAGGCGCCCGAGGACAGTCCTTTAAATTATAGAGATTGAACTTGATAGGGGAAAAAAAAACCCCCACCTTGTTTTTCTGATTTCTCTTATTTTTCTGTGGACCAGAGAAAACATACAAGTCTACAGAGCTGTGTTTGGGAACTGCTGAGCACCTGCAGTGTGCAACTTAGAGAATGTGATTTGAAAATTGCCACTGGGCTTGGATTGCTATTTTACCTGATACTCCTCTCAGTAAAGTAAAAGAGTTATAGAGGGAAAATAATCTGAAATAATTGATTCTTCTTTTAATTTTAATTTTTAATTTAAAAAAATTTTTAAGAAGATTTTATTCGTTTGAGAGAGAGCGAGCACGAGCAGGAGGGAGCGGCAGGCAGAGGGAGAGGGAGAAGCAGGCTCCCCGCGGAGCAGGGAGCCCGATGCAGGACTCAGTCCCAGGACCCTGGGATCATGACCTGAGCTGAAGGCAGACTCGTAACTGACTAAGCCTCCCAGGCGCCCCTATTTTTATTCTCTTATTTTAAATTTTAGTTAGTTAACATACAGTGCAATATTGGTTTCCGAAGTAGAACTGAGTGATTCATCACTTAACGTACAGCACCCAGTGCTCATCCTAACAAATGCCCTCCGTAATACCCATCCCCCACCCACCTCCCTCCATCAACCCTCGGTTTGTTCTCTATCCTTAAGAGTCTCTTATGGTTTGTTTCCCTCTCTCCTTTTCTCTCTTTTTCCCCTTCCCATTTGTTCATCTGTGTTCTGTCTTTAATTCCTCATGTGAGTGAAATCATATGGTATATTTCTTTCTCTGACTGACTTGTTTCACTTAGCGTGATACACTCTAACTCCATCCACATCAGAGGACAGTATGGAGGTTCCCCAAAAAGTTAAAAATAGACCTGCCCCATGACTCAGCAATGGTATTTACCCAAAGGGTACAAAAATACAGATTCGAAGGGGTATGTGCACCCCAATGTTTTCATTTTTTGTTTTTTAAAGATTTTATTTATTTATTTGAGAGAGAGAATGAGAGAGAGAGAGAGAGCATGAGGGGGGGAGGGTCAGAGGGAGAAGCAGACTCCCCGCTGAGCAGGGAGCCCGATGCAGGACTCCATCTGGGGACTCCAGGATCATGACCTGAGCCGAAGGCAATCGCTCAACCAACTGAGCCACCCAGGCGCCCTGCACCCCAATGTTTATAGCAGCCTTCTCAACAATAAAATAACTGATTCTTAACTGTGATTCGTGATGTCACCATTTCCAGCTTGTTTAATTTGTGCTCAATAGTCTGAAGTTGAGTGTATGGGGTGGGTGGAGGGGGTATATATGTATGTGATTGTGTCTCTTGAATTTCAGATGAGATTCTGGATGTGTTATCCGATACTGAGGAGCAGCCTCCTACCAAGGAGCCTCCAATAGTTATCATTGATGATGATAGTGATTTTGAGGGCCCTGTGATCATAATAGACGAGGATTCGTGTGATCAGGGCCAAACTGCCTCAGAGGAAAAGGAGATGGAGGTCTTCGATGTCTCCCAATGCAATTCATCTCATTATGTTGGTGAGCCGAATCTGGGTGAAGATCTCGGCCAACCTCTGAGCGGTGCTGAGACTACAGTGGAGATTACAGATGATGAGGCTGCACCTGTGGTGGAGCAACCACGGAAGAGGAAGAGGAAGACCAAGAACATATGTGTGACACCCGGTAAGCCAGTCACATCAAGCAGGCCTGACCTACTGAATCCGCCCCGCCCACCCCGCGTGCCAGCCATGCCTGCCTCGCCCCTTGCCCTGGACATGTCTGTCTGGTCAAGTCGGCCTGTCCTCCTAGGCCATTTCAGCAGCTTCCTAGTGGCTAAGGGAGACAGCCATCCCAGGGAAAACGATCTTTCTGGAAATGGGGGAGGAACACCCATGTCTTACGAGTCGCATTTCCCTCGTCCTGGCACGCTTTGTCTCTGTGCTTTTTGTCCTGAGGAGACCCCATTCTTCTTGGGACCCAGCCCAATTGTCAGTTCCTGTGGGAAGCCAGACGTCAGAGATGCTCCTCCCTCCTGGGTCCTCATAATTCTCAGACCCTGTCTCTGCTAAAGCACTTACCCAGCTGTCTGACGATAGGTTTCTGAATCTGTCCCCCCCCCCCCCGCCAAGTGGACCGTGAGCCTCTTGATGGGAGGACTCTTCATTTTTAAGTCTCTCCCAGGGTCTAGCCTGGTATTCGGCACATAGTAGATGTTTAATACTTTTTTTTTTTTTCAATAAGTGAACGGATGACACTACCGTTACGGAAGTCTCCGACTAGAGCAGTTAGCAGTATATGGAGGCTAACCAAAGATGGATAGACTGGGCTTGTATATCGAGTGAAGGTCCTGCCTGGGATCTGAGCCACTTCCTTATTTTTTTTTTAAAGATTTAATTGTTTGGGAGAGGGAGAGACCGCAGGAGCAGAGGGAGAGGGAGAAGCACACTCCCCGCTGAGCAGGGAGCCCGACACGGGGCTGGATCCCAGGACCCTGGGATCATGACCTGAGCCGAAGGCAGACGCTTAACCCACAGTCACCCATGCGCCCCTGAGCCACTTCCTTAGAGCAAGTGTGTGAGCTTTGCCACACCGTTCCTTACACTGCCCATGCCTCAGTTGCCCACACAATCTAACCTCATGCGGCAGGCTCACATAACCTCATTATATAGTCCTTGTACCTACGACAGCTTATTCTGCTGGCAGCTCTGGGATTCACGTAGGGAGACTCTGTCTCATGGACTGATGGAGAGTTTGCAGGCTTTAGACAGGCAGTTACCTTTTCTAGATGGTGCTCTGGGTGTGGCTGTGGGGGCTCCTCCTGGGTGCACCTTTCTGCCAGTTGCTGCGTGGGCCCAATTTTCAGGGTCCAAACGAACTGTTCTCTTTTCAGCTATGAGAGTCTCCAAAAAGCGTGTGTCTTCAAAGAAGAAGCTCAGTGCGGGGAAGATTAAAAAAGACAAGACCAGGTACGTGCTGTCCACGTTCAACTGCGCAGGAATTGATGGTACCGTTGTCCCGTCCGTGTTAAGCGGCCCACGGGGCATGTGGGAGGGTCTTCAAGGGGATGAAGGAGTCCGGTGGGCGAGGGGGACAAGGCTTCCACCCCCGACTTGGGAGGGCATAAGTTGGAGAGGGAGGAGGAGGAGGCACCCCACTGCTACCCACCTCCTTCTGCCTCAGCAGAGCCCCACGTGGGCACCCCACAGCAATGCCCGCGCTTCCCTCGGCTGGCCGGAGCCCTTTAGCCCCCACGTCAGCTCTGGCCATTCCTTGGTCCTTAAGCTCAGATCTGCCTTGTTGCCACCAGTTGGCATGAAACCAAAGCAATCCCAGCGGAGATTGAGGGCGGGACAGACCTGTCCCTATCCGTTGGAATCGGGGGGCGGGCAGTCAAGATGGCCTTCCAGGTTTTTGCGGTGCTTTGGCTGCATCCAGTTACACCTACAGCTTGTGGATGTTTTTGAACATTTTGAAAGCTTAAACATTAGCGTGAAATAGATGGCTCGTGGTTCCTGTATTTTTATTAAGCTACGTGGAATTGATCCTGAGAACAGCAGGTCATTTAGACCAAAGACATGTCAATTCTTAAAAGGACGCCAAAAACTGACACTTGTTTTCATTCGGATTCCAGGAAGTTCTGACCTTTCCGCTTAAAAAAGACGATGTAGTAGAGCATAATTTTCTTCATTCTTCCTTGCATTCAGGAGTAATATATACTTCTATCCGAATTATCTTCCAAGACAAGGAATGAGTTTGAAGGAGTGTCTGTTTGGGTTTGTTTGTTTGTTTGTTTGTTTGTTTTACCTGTACTTTGGAGCAATAAATGCATCTTAAGGGCAGCAGAACGATGTGTCAGGCACCGGGGCAACAGAACCGCTCGAACCTGAGCTGAGGGGCCCTCTGCTTCTGCACTTCTTGCTCGGTGAGGTAGCTCTCGTAGTTCGGCGTGTTCTCTCGCAGGTGGATCCCCGGTCAGCCAAGGGTCTTCTCTGGGTTCCTAGATATATCCGTAAGCTGCTTTTGTCTCAGTGTCTTGGGTAGCTCCCAGGTTGCTTTGCTGTGGTGTGACAAAAGAAAGCCTATGAGCCGCCCCTGTGTGTCATTGTCCTCCGCGTCATCCAAAGGAGGCTAGTGTGTTTGGACTCCTCAACAGTTGCCTTGGCGCTTCCTGTGGCAGTCTGTAGGCTTCCTGTTGTGCTTTGCCTTGTTCCTGTGTAGGCTGCTTGCTGGTCATGGTGTCTGATGTACCCATTTGGGATCTTGCTTGTTCCTGTGATGTGGAGATGCTCTGCCTGCAAGCGAAGTGGCACAGACATCGAGGGGAAGGTGGGCCAAGCCACAAGGCCTGCTTGACATAAGCGCAAACAAGTGGGGGGGGGGTCCCCCTTCTCTGCTGAGGTCTGCAGATGGTTTGGGTTTTCATCTGCTACCTTTTTGGATGCAAATTTGCTTTCAGAACGAGGTAATTTGAGGCAGACCGTGTTAGTCACCAGTCTGAGGCTCTGGGGGTGAGGACCCTAACTTTAGCTGCCTTGGCCTGGTTTTGTTCTGATTTCCTCTCCCCACCCAAGCCCCCTCACAGATGGCTTATTTTGTGACTTCGGGGTTCATGAGTGTCCCGGCAAAATCCCCATCTCGGGAGTTCTGTGAGGTCAGAAACTTAGCTTACGTGTGTTTGCTCCTGTTTTTATCTTTCCAGCTCGGTAGGCTCATCTCTTGGGACCTGTGGGTGGTTGTAGCCAGGATAAAAGGGTGAAATGAATTATTATTAACAAGTGTGAGTCCTCGTGTGCTTAGCACTCTCCTTTGTGCAGTGGAATTAGGCCTTGAAAGATGGGGCAGCGGTAGGGGTCTAATGGGAAGACCCCGAGATTTGGGTCCAAAGATCCAGGGTCTCTCTGAACTTTGGGGAAGTCGCCTGACCTCGGACCTTTGGTTTCCTCATCTAGCCAAGTGGAGATCGTGAGAAGAGTAATCGCTTCTTTGGAGGGGGGTTGTGAGGATTAAATAGGATAGTGCAACAAGAAGTTCTCTGCAAAGGAGAAAACGCTACACGGATGGTGGTTCTCAGGAGAGCTGGAGACGTGGTCATTGTAGGGCTCAGGGGCAAACCGGCTGTGCCCAGACATGAACGGACTGTGGAGAATCAGTTCTGTCCAGAGAACGTTTAACTTGCCCACCTTGGCCACAGTGGAAATGGTACCTGGAGACAGAGGTTGGGGCCCGATTGACCTGGGCCTTGAATGGCCTGGCCACACGGTGCCAAGCCGGGGAGGGACGGACCTGGGATGTGACCTAGGAAAATGAATCGGAAGTGTGGGGTGCGGGAGAAAGAAAGAAAAAGCGCCTGGAAGGAAGGAGCACAGGGGAATGCCGTAGCAGCAAGGCCCCGAGGGGAGGAGATGAACTTGAACCAGGCTGGTGACCGTGGGGTGCGAAGGAGGGCTGGCTGGAAGAGGTGTGAAGGGGATCGCCGTCTTTGAGCCTGTTTGAATATGGGGCAAGGGAGAAAATGGATTTGAAGATGTCTCTGAGGTTTTCAGCCCGGTATAACAGAAGTCCGATAACTAAACACACTAGAATGGGGGTCATACTCAGGTTAACCAGTTGGCAGCTCGGACCCGGATCCCCCAGGAGAGAGATCGAGACTGCGGATACAGGGGTGGGATCACTCCTGCTGAGGTTGAAGCCACAGGCTTCATATCTCTGAGAAGGCAAGTAGCGAGAAGAAAAAGGCTATGCGTGGAACTTTGGGGAATGCTCTTCTACAAGGAGCTGGAAGGAGGAGGGACCAGCACGTTTTCCGAGTCTCTCTCTACATGACCCGTGTGTGTGCCTTTCTCTTATCTCTTCCTCTAGTTACACATAACTCAGCTGAACTTGCCTTTGCAGGAAAGCGATGTGCAAAATACCTGGATGTTTCCTGCGTGACCTGGAAAAGGAAAAGCAGTATTCTGGAAGGAAATTCAAGCAAAATAAGGACAGCCTGGTTCAGAAAATCTACACCCTGTTTAATAGCTCGGTGTTTGATAAAAAGGTACCGTTGACGAATAAGCATTGGATGAGCGCCTGCTATATGTCTGGCACTCTCAGGGGCTGTGAGGTGTGCGGGATGTGTGAGCTGTGTATTTCCTGCTCTGGAGAAGTGTCAGTTTAGATGGAGAGGTGATGCATGCACAGGTGAAAGAAATAGAGCATGTTTGTGGGTAATCCTCTATGGTACAGACTGTTACCAGCACAGGAGATCAGCAGAGGCAGAAAAAAAATCACCGAGAGCCTGAGTGGTCAGGAAATAAGGTTGCCTGCAGGAAGTAAGACTTCTGGCTCTTGAGGGATGGTAGGCAGAGAGAGCAGCGATGGGCGGGGGTGGAGAGGGCATGTGTTGATCCTTGACGATCTGGAAAGAGAGGCTTTATGTTGAAGAATAATGGGAAGGAGCTCTGTGAGCCTGGACAAGGTACTTGACCCCTCTCTGCCTCAGTTTCCTCATCTACAAAATGGGAACGATAATAGTACCCACTACCTCATAGAATTATTGGTTTTTTTTTTTTTAAAGATTTTATTTATTTGTCAGAAAGAGCACAAGCAGGGGGAGGGACAGAGGCAGAGGGAGAAGCAGGCCCCCCGCCCAGCAGGGAGCCCGATGCGGGGCTCGATCCCAGGACCCTGGGACCATGACCTGAGCCGAAAGCAGACGCTTAACTGACTGAGCCACCCAGGCGCCCCCAGAGAATTATTGTTAGACTTAGGGAGGGTAATACGCGTAAAGTGCCTAGAACAGAGCCTCAGCAGTTATTGGGGTTTTCAGACTTTATTATTTCCGCTGACACAACCTTTTGCAGGGAAAGTTCTTAGATCTTTCTGAGGTTCCCCAGCCTTTGGGGAAGTCACTCATGGTTGGTGTTACATCACATGGCTGATGAGGGGACTGAGGTGCACATGAAATTTCACCTCCGTGCTCTTTAGGCTCGGGGGGAGCGGGAAGGAGGGGGTTCCAGCTCCTGCCTCAGCAGGTTTGCACCTCTCTCCTTGGCTGCCCCTGACTTGGGTCCTGCATGTGTGTGCCCTCATCCATCTCCCTTATATCCTGATGGTCTGTGTGTTGTTTTTGCCTGGGCTTCAGCCTGGCTTTTATTCTCCCCAGAATGTTTGGATTTGCAGAACTCTTTTCTTAAGATTTTATTTATTTATTTGAGAGAGAGAGAGCACGAGCAGGGGGAGGGGCTGAGGGAGAAGCAGGCTTTTCCCGCCGAGCAGGGAGCCCGATGCGGGGCTCGATCCCAGGACCCCGGGATCACGACCCGAGCCGAAGGCAGACGCCCAACAGATGGAGCCACCTGGGCGCCCCTGCAGAGCTCTTGAGTGAACAGTCTTTGGTCTGCTTGAAGCTGCTTGCTGACTCACTCTGCTGGCTGTTTTGTTCTCAGCTGCCGGAGAAAATAGATATTGGCTGGAATAAAAAGATGCTGAGAACTGCGGGCTTATGCACCACCGGTGAGACCCGTTACCCGAAGAGGCAGCGTTATGCAAAGATAGAGATTTCTCTGAAAGTCTGCGACTCTGCAGGTGACGGCAGCTTCCCTCCTGCGCCCTTTCTTTGTGTAGTGACTCGTAGGGACTGGTATTTCCCAGCAGCCTATGCCACAGCTTTTCCTGTCCTTCCTGGGTAGATAGGCCTTCTGTGCCTTGCTCGGGGGACATGATCTTTTTTTATTTTTTAGAATTTTTGGAAAAGATTTATTTATTTCTTTTAGAGGGAGTGATTTATTTTAGAGAGAGAGAGAACGCACGAGCAGGGGGCGAGGGAGAGAGAGAATCTGAAGCAGACCAAGCCGAGCACAGAGCCCGACGCGGGGCTCGATCTCACGACCCCGAGATCGAGACCTGAGCCAAAATCAAGAGACGGACGCTTAACCGACTGAGCCACCCAGGCGCCTCTGCTCAGAGGACATGATTATCAGATGTCTCCCCAGCCCTGAGAATCCAGCTTGGCCGTCTTTCCATTAGGCTAACTGTCTCTCAGTAGGTAGCTCCCTGTTGCTGGCCAACCACCAAATCTTCAAAATGACCCTCCTGTCCTCGGTCCTTTGCCTCCGCCCAGGTGTGGGGCCCTGTCACCTCACTCTTCATCTCCATTCAGTCTCCAGCACACCACCACACCACTTCCTGCTAAGCCACCTGGGGCTGGTGTGTGGCAGGGGCGAGAGTCTAGGTAGGGGTGGTTGAGTGGCAGGCCCGAGGGAATTGGTTCAGGTGCTCACGATTTCTTTCCATCCCTCTTCCGAGACCGTCTCCGGGATACTTTGATCCATGAGATATGCCATGCAGCCTCCTGGCTTCTCGATGGCATCCGTGATTCTCATGGTGACGCATGGAAGTATTATGCCAGGAAATCGAATATAGTGCACCCGGAGCTGCCCATGGTCACTCGTTGCCATAACTACAAGATTAACTACAGGATCCATTATGAATGTACTCAGTGCAAAACCAGGTAAGACCTTCCGCCTCCGACTTTCTTCGGTTACTTTTCTGCTACAGCCTCCAGCCAACTGGCCCTTTGTGATTTTGTTAGTAAGTGCCTGGCTGGCCGACGTGAGAAGTAAACCTTCTCTGCTCCTTTCCACGTCTTCTTTCTCCATGCTCTCCTACTTGGAGCCGGCCTGAGAGTCTTGCTTTGGGCCCAAGGCCAGCAGCTCCGAGAACACGCTGCGTTACAGTGACTGATCGATTTGTGGTGTCTTTTTCCTCATTAGGGTCGGCCGCTATACCAGATCCTTGAACACTGACCGCTTTATCTGTGCCAAGTGCAAGGGGCCCCTGGTCATGCTGCCGTTAACTCGCAAGGATGGAACCCCCATTGCACCCCATGTGAGGCCCTTTGCTAAGTATGTGAAGGAGAATTATAGAATGATTAAGCATGAGACGAAAGGGATGAGCCATGGGGATGTGATGAGGCGGCTGAGCAAGGATTATGGCGAAAAGCAAAGGCAGAATCGTTGAGGTTATCTGGGGGTGTATTTCTGTGGGCTGAGCCCCCCCCCCCCGCTAAGAAGTTTTAGAAAAATATCTGTTTCTGATAAGCAATAAATATTAGGAATAATAGGATTTAAACCGTTTCTTTATAGCCTCATACTGTTAATGATGATTGTTCTTCAAGGATTCCGTTGCTAAGCAATTTTGTGCCCTTGACGGTACTCACAAGCCGTTGGGATCCACTCTGGGTATCAGTTAGTTTTAACATAGTTCTAACACATAGAACACAGTGCAGACACAAACTGCGTTTTCAAGAGGGGCAGGTGGAGAGAAGAAGGCTGCTGGGAGGCGAACCAGTTTTAAAAGAGGCAGCACTCCCGAGACCAGGGCTGCCGGCAGGTGGAAACTGTGAAACTTACCTAGACATAAAAGACAAGCATGTTTCATGAATTCAGTTGCTCTTGACATTGAATAAAGCCACGCTGAGCCAGTGTAGTTGTTACTAAGACAAAAAAAATAAATAAAATGTTTTCTGCAATTTGCTTGTTAATGGGGTCTGTTCATTGACAACCTGTGCCTCGTGCGGAACCAGCCCTCAGGTCTTTCGTCCAAGACGCCGGACCTCGGAAGTGCTCCAGAATGTGTCTGCAAGAGCACCCTCCAATCTGGGTTTGTCTGGGATTTTTGTGACTGCCCGTAAGCACTTTGGCAGCCTCCCCACTCCGGGGAGATAGCCAGGATGCAGACTGGGGTCAACGTTGTATTCATTTCCTACTGCCGCCCTAACAAACTACCACAAGCTTAGTGACTTAAAACGACACAGATGGGTCATCTTACAGCTCGGGAGGTCAGCAGTCAGGCGCGGACCACGCTGGACTGAAGTCAAGGTGTGGGCAGGGCTGTGTTTCTCTCTGGAGGCCCTGGGGTTTGGGGATCCGTTTCCTCGTCTTGTCCAGCATCTAGAGGTCACCTGCATTCTTTGGTTTGTGGCCCCCTTCCATCCTTCAAGCCAGCAACATCTCCCTCTCTCTGTCTCTCTCTCTCTCTCTCTCTCTCTCTCACCCTCATCCTCCCTCTCCCTCCTTTTCCCTTTCTGAATTTCACTTTTAAGGACCCTTGTGAGGCCATTGGGCCCACCTGGATAATCCAAGAGAATCTTATTTTAAGGTCAGCTCCTCAGCCACGTTTTTGCCATGTAAGGCAGCCTGTTCACCAGTTCTGGGGATTCGAGGGTGGACATCTTGGGGGACCCATTGCTCGGCCTGCCACAAACATCCATACTAATCTGGCATCACTGGACATCACTGATACCTTCTGTCCTCCTTCCTTCCTTCCATCCTCCTGTTATTTCGCACATGCTTCGCTGAAGCCTAACCACAAGTCTAAGGGCTCGGGTGTGGGCCCAGGGCACTATGAGCTTCCCTAGCGAAATCCTCAGGTTCCTCCTTACCAGGCCTGCCTCCAGCCACGTCTGCTGTCTTGGCCAAGGCCCAGCTGACCCACGAAACTGGATCGCGGCACGTTGGTGGCTTAATGAGGGGGGACTGACAGCACAGTGGTTCCCACTCCTGCAAAGGGAAGGTCTTAACCCACTAGCCCTGCCGCCTGTCTTTCTGGGGAGCCCCGGTCATTTCCTCTACGTGCTTCCACCTCAACTGTAGCGCCCCCCCCATGCCCCCAGGTGGCTTGTGTGCTAATGACTGTTAGCAAGCCATCCGATCTGGGTGCTTTGCTTCGATCCCAATGGGTCATTACCCCAGAGGGAGCCCGCACCCCCTCTCACGTGAACAGCTGGCTACGGCCTTCTAGCAGGATCCTCGGATACCACCACTTGATCCCAAACCAACTTGGAGTCTCATTATTTTCAACCCTAAGTCTAGCCAGTTGGGAGCACTTCCCGGTCTGGTTAAGCTTTGCAGTTTGCAGCCTCCTCACGTTTTGCCAGTGCCTTCCCTCCTGCCCAGAAATACCGTCTTCCCTTCTCTTTGCCCTTGGCCCTACCACGTGTCCCTTCGGGTCTGCTCATTTCTGTCTTCAAGAAGCCTTCCTCAATGGCTCAGGCCACAGGGCTCTGAGCGCCCCGTTCATGGTCCGTGAGCCACTCTTTTGCCACGTGGCCTAGACTGCCCGCGTCGTCCCTGCTGGCCTAAGCTTCTGGAGTGCCGGGACTAGGTCTTCATGTCTGAAGGCCCTTCCCCAAATTATGCCTCTACAGTGGCCGGCCAGTCCGGGTAACAGCGCACACCCACACACCCGGGTGCTTCCCCGTGAGGGGCGGGGGCACCCAGGAGGGCCCAGAGGAGGCTCGACGTAGACGTTAACGCAAGCAGCACAAGCTGCCACAGATCTGGGGCCGGGCGAGGAGGGCCGGAAACTCATCCCCGACGCCTGGGCCGGGCTGGCCATAATGATGCGCGACAAACACGGCCTGGGCCCGATTACCTTGTTTATTGCAACCTTGGAAGCAGAATTTTAGACATTAAAAAAAAAAAACAAAAAACCCAGGAACGAATACACAGGTCTTGGGGACCACAGCTACAGTCGCTGCTGAGTTGGAGGCCTCGGGCCAAGGCCCCATAGGGGCAGCCTCTACTATGCTTTCCGCTTCGTGCTCTCCGAACATGGGGAAGGCCAAGGTCTAGTTACCGGATAAGAAGGGCAGTGGGGCTCTGGGCAGCCGCCTCCGAAGTGGCAGTGGGGCGTGGCGACTAAGGAGCAGCAGGGGCGGCGGCGGCGGCGGTCGGGAGGAGGGGGTGCCTCCCTGGGAGACCCCGGGGGTGCCGGGGCTGCCAGGGCATCCCCGGAGTGCGCATGGGGCGTGAGGCTGCGGGGCGAGGGAGTGAGGGAGGGAGGGAGGAGCCTGGGGTGTGGGGGTGGTCGGGGCCGCGGGGCGAAAGGAGAGCCCCCGTCCGGCCTCACAAGCCCGAGTAGGAGGCCTCCGTGGTCTCGGACCAGGACGACTCCCGGCGGGAGGACGACGGCGGCCGCTGGTGCCCTCTCTGGCCGGGCCGGCCCAGGCGCGCGAGCAGCCCCCACATGCGCTCTCGGAACTTGATGCCCACAAAGGCGTAGAGCAGCGGGTTGAGGCAGCAGTGCATGTAGCCCAGGCCGGCCGTGACCGACTTGGCCACGTCCACGCGGCTCTCCCGGCCACAGTTGCGGCTCAAGGCCCCCAGGTCCATGAGGGTGTCCAGCAGCACCACCAGGTGGTAGGGGGTCCAGCAGAGGGCAAAGGCCGCCACGACCGCCACGACCAGCCGCATGGCGCGCAGCCGTCGCTGGCCCCTGGAGACGAGCAGCACAGCCAGGATGCGGGCGTAGCAGTAGGCCATGACCAGCAAGGGCAGCAGGAAGCCGGCGACCAGCTGCAGGACGCGCAGGGCCGTGCGGCCCACCTGCGGGAAGTCGTACTGACAGTGGGTGGCGTTGAGGCGCTCGTCGCGGTGGGCCGACAGGAAGATGAAGTCGGGGATGGCGAAGAAGAGGCAGAGCCCCCAGACGACCACGCAGGTGACGGTCACGCGGCCCGGGGGCCCCCGGCGGTACAGCTGGGTGGCGTGCACGATGCTCAAGTAGCGGTCAAAGCTGATGCAGGCCAGCAGGAGGGCCCCGGCGTAGAAGTTGATGTTGAAGAGGGCCCCGGCCACCTTGCAGAGGCCAGACCCGAAGACCCACTGGATGGCGGCGTCCACCGCCCACAGGGGCAGGGTCAGCACGAGCAGTATGTCGGCCGCGGCCAGGTGGAGCAGGAAGGTGTCGGTGGTGCTCCGGGCTGCCCGCTGGCTCAGCAGCACGGCTGCCACAGCGCCGTTGCCCAGCAGCCCCAGCACGAAGAGGAGGCCGTACAGGGCCGGCTGGAAGGTGCGGTCGAAGCTCAAGCTGAAGTCCTGCGGGCACGGCGGGGACGGGCAGCAGGACTCGCTCTCGTTCTCCCCGTAGTCATAGGAGGAGCTGCAGTTTTCCAGGAGGAAGGCGAGCTCGGACGCTTGGATCACTTGGCGTTCGCTCATCTGCGGGCGGAGGCAGGGAACGGACCCCGTGAAGGCCTGGCACTCACCGTGGGAGCGTGGCTCTGAGTGGCCCCTCCGTCAGGCAGGCCCCAGGCCGGGGCCATCCCGCGCGTCACCGTTCCTGCCTTTCTTCCGAGGCCTCGCCCGCGGAACTCAGAGCTCGGTCTGCTGGGCCTTGGCCATCACCGCCCACCCGCCCCCCCCCATCCCCAACCCCAACCCCAACCCCAACCCCAACCACCGTGGGTGGTGGTGGGGGGGCGGGGTGGGGTAAAGTCTCATCTCAGAGCCAGCTTCTCTCTCACCCTTCTGGGCCACCCCATCAGCCCGGGGATTGTGGGCCCGAGGGAAAGCTGCCCTCCCATGCCAAGAGCCCTCCCTGCCCCCTCTCCCCTCTCCTGGCTCTTCCTTCACCACTCGCCCTTCTGTTTCCCCGGCCACGCCTAGTTCTACCACTTTCCTCCCCAGGCACCTCCCCACAGTCCCCTTAGTCAGTCGCTGGCCCTCTACTTCCCTCCTCAGCCCTCACTGAGGGACCCCAACTTCCTGCTCCCCATGGGGCCCCTCCACAAATCACTGAAGCCCCCCCCAGCCCCCCATCACATGCTTTCGGCTCCTGTTCTTCCCTTCCCAAACGCGGAGGCCACCTGCCACCCACTGGGGGTTGCCCCAGCCCAACTCTAATAGAACTACTCCTTACCCCGTCACCTTGCCAACCACCCCGGAGCCACGAGCCTTCTCAGTGCCAATTCAGTCCCGCGTGGAAGAGTAAGTTCTAACTCAGAGCTGAAGGCAGCCTTGGAGGCCGTCGGGGGGTGAGCCTCTACGGCCCACATTTTGCAGATGAGGCGCCAAAGCCAGACAGGACAGGGGACTCGTCCGCGGTCCTGCACAAGGCGGGGGGCCACGGTGGGCTCCCAATTCCCCGGCCCAGGGCTCCTTCTACCACAACCCCTGCATTGTCTGTCTACTCACCCAACCCCCAGGTGGCCCCGGCTCGGGGTGGGGTGGGGGGAGGTGGGCAGCCCTGACTTTGCCCCAGTATCCCGGGCCCTCCGCTCTGAGCGGCGTACCTGTGTCCCTCCCGGCCTGCCGGAGCAGCGCTTACCTCAGGGACTGTCGCCGGACTGGTACTCTGGCTGCCGGGCTGTGTGCTGCCTGCCCCTCTGCTTTGGTGCTTGTGGTCGGCAACTTGCGCTACACAAAGGAAGTGAGGGTTTCACATGATTCTCGGCAGCAGCCTCTTCCATGGGGTTGTCTGTACCAGACCTCCCCAGACCCAAGGCCGCGGGAGTTTCTACTCCAGCCATTTCCCCCGAGGCCAGGGGAAGCTGCTCTGGAGGAACTGGCTGCCAGCCTGGGACCAGACAGCCTGGGGTCTGGGGAAGGGCAGGGCCTCTGAGGGGAGAGATCTGAAGGAGAAGCGGCGTGTCTGGGAAGTGGGGGGGGGGCAGCCCCGCTGCCAGGGGCATGGACCGCTGCTCCCGCACTAGGATAGTCAATGCTCGATG